AAAGCAGATTTGTTGAGGCAGACATTTCGGTAAGACTAGAGGGTTTTGTGTTGTTTTCTTTTTTCTTTTTCTTGAATCAGTCAATCGATCAAAAATTTTCCAGAAAACAAAAAACACATTAAGACCTAGGTGAGTTTGAATACATTTTATTTTGTGAAGCGCTGTGTGTGTCCTCTCGGCAAAAAACTCAGTCTGAATAAAATATACGTCCTTATTTACTTTTCCTTTCAGAGCGCAAGCAGAGTGGCGTGGAGTAGGAAACGTGCCGGAAGTGGTGGTGGTGCTGAGTGGAAGACTAGTGATTTTGTTGCGATGCTCGTCAAAAGAACAACAAGTCCCAGTCTGCCTCTCGGCACGAGCCAAAACTCTTCTTTGGTCTCAGCTCACAAGCAGCTCACATTTCACGCCTCAGCTCCTATTTATTTTTCATGTGACCCCCCCCCTCCCACCACCACCACTTTTTTTACGCTCCCGTTCCCCCCCCCCCCCCACAACCCCACCTCCTCTCTGTACGAATGGGCCTTAATAGCTGGAAACGATCGAAAGCTTGATCTACACTGACAGAAATACACACACACACACACACACACGATTACACAAAGTGATTTTGAGACACTGCAATTTGCACTTTAGTCCCGATAAAATGTCGCATGTGTGTTTATTACTGTTACATTTTTGACCTTAATAAAGCCCTGTGTAAATCTCTGAAGTATGTTTTTCCTTTGCTCTACACATATTCAATCTCCTACTGCTTCCTTGTATCGATACTCATTGATTTTCAAGCTCTAAGAAAATAAATAAATAAAAACAAAACCAGAACCACCCATCCTTGCATCATCGTTAATTGTTTATTATTTTAGGTTATGGTTGCTGCCCAATTCAAAGAAGGGTGCCACATATATAGATATACACACATATATAAATTATAAAATAAAATTTTGAATTGTCCAATTTTTAAGTTAGTAACTCACGTTCTGCTTTCATTTGTTTTGCTTTTTTTTTCTGGTATCACCTTCCCCATATAAATATATTTTTGAGTGCAGACTCTAAATTGCCAACCGGTACAGGGGTGTGAACAGTTGTTTGTCGATACTGGATATGCCCTCCATCTGGCTGGAGACTAATTCAGGGTGTACATACACAACGGAAAATAAATGAATAGAAAGAAAGCTGTACAGGATACAAATGAGACAACATTCCCCAATTTTCTATTACACTGCAAATACTAGCTTTGTCAGTCATCTGTCATATGTTCACATGTGTTTTGCATTATTCAAAAATCGATCCTATATTTACAGTGCGGTGTATGTTGATGTTACAGCACTCCATGATATATTTTCTTATGTTTAGCTCCTGGGGGATTATAATATGCTCCCATAATTGCGTCCCTTTCAATGCACGTATGAAGAATTACAGTGTGACATGAGTTAAACTCGTACAGAGTACTCATAAAACATTCCGAGAGCGTGAAATTACAAAGCCTGACGGTGTAAGTTGTGTGAACGCATTGTATCAGAAGGAGACATAATTATGGAAGTGTTCCCTCCTCTAGTATTTGATTTAGATATTTAATAATTAGATTTTGGATGTGGCACTCCTTACAAGGAAATAAAACATGAATCCATTTTCATTAGCACTTGTGCAAATTAGGGGCACAGTTAAGTTAGAGCCTAGCCCAGCTGATCTAGAGGTCGGGTACACACAGGGCTTTTTTTTTTTTAATCATACAGTTTTCAATGCATCTATAAAAGGTCAATGATCCTAAATTGACGAAGCGTTTGAAGCAAAGAACAAAATAACCATATTCTGTCTTTTTTTTCTCTTCTCCCAGTGCAAGGAGCTCTCGTGCATGAAAAATAGCATTCAAGGATGGCACAAAGCCGCTGAACAAGAAACCAACATTCAGGACAAGGCTTCATTTTTTTCAGTTTTTTTTTTCCACCACAAAAAAATAACTCACTCAAAATTTTAATAGTATTACGGTACAATGTTGGTCCTGCATATCATTTTAAAACACACAAAACATGAGGCCTATTCACGTTGTGATGTAAGACAGTATAAAACCCAGTGAAAGTGCAACCAAGACTTGTCTGCCATCTATTGGTGATTTTTGATATTACGACTTCAAGCCACAGTCAACCCCTGCATATTTTGCAGATTTTTGTCAATATTTTTAAAATATTTTGTATTTGTAATTTTCCTGCTTTGTGCCATTACTTTACCGCCATTTGCCCCCGTTTTTTTTAAATCAGCGTTTTTTAAAGCTTTTTTTTGGGGGGGGGGGTTGTACAATAAATAACTAAATAAATACATCTTTGAGAAAAACATTTTGGGAGTGTGGATTGCCACGGGCCACCAATTGCCCATCCCTGTATCAGGTTGACATTCAAATATTTGGAACGTGGGACTGCTTGATTCAAAAAAACGACGTCTACTAACCATAAGTTCACCGTGCTCCCAGGAAACAACGATGCGCAAATGGAAGACATTTCGAAATACTCAAACAAACAAACAAGAAATGCCCAGTAGCAAACACATGATCGAAAATAGAACCAATAAAAAACGTAAATGAATATGGCAAGCAAAGCTGGGACATATATTACCGGCACTGTCTAATTGAAGGCGTCAAGCCATCAAATCATGACTAAACAAAAAGATAAGAAAAAACAAAACAAACGCTTTTTATTCGGCTGTTTCCAGGATACCTGCATGAGTGACCTGATAGGATCCCCAGCTCTTTTTTTTTCCCCGCTGGGCAAACAAGCTGCTCGAACAACAAGTCACGCCCGCCTCATTAGCAACACGTTACATACACCATCGCGTGATTTTTAAACATCTCGATGAAAAGTAAAGACCGTTGCGATTTGTTTACTCAACATATTCGTAACCTTCCCAGCTCTCCATAAATTAAATGGAGAGCGACGAAACCTACATCGTTTTAATTAATCACACGCCATGGCTTGTCTCATTCAGGCTCGACCGGGTAAGTCTACAGATTGAGGCCATGCTGAGTCTTTTTAGTCTTTTTTTTAAACATAAAACCGGTGACTGCCTTATGTTGCTAGGCAACACAAAAGAGTCAAGTACATTGGTTCATTGGCCAATAAGAATGACTGGTAAGTTTCAAGGTTTTTGAGGGAGGTCGTCTACGAAGAAGAAATAAAAAATGAACACACACAGAAAGGGGGGGGGGGTGGCAGGAGAGGGAAACATGACGTTTATTTTTTGGGAGTTCAGCTGTGAGTGTTTTACCAAAACCTTTGGAAAAGAAAATATTCAGCTCAAGTGTTCAGAGACTAATAAGGCTTCTCTACACGCAAGAGCCCCCCCCCCCCCCCCCCCCGTCAATACTTTTGCGAGTGTACTCAAGCCTGTTTGTACATAGACAATCAATTTGAAGTGTACAACACTACACAACCCCCCACATCCATCCATCTTATTTTCTGTATCGCTAAGTTGCTAACCACCAGAGCGCCATGATGCCCGTCACGAACTGTGAAGAATTCGCCCCCCCCCCCAAAAAAAAAGCTGCTTCAGGCTGTTTCATGCCACTCGCTAGTTTAAGTATACGGTACTGTCAAACTAAACATCAAACAAAGAATAACAACTTAAGTATTTAACCCTTTCATGCACACTGTAACCTGATAACATGGTAAGATGCCCACTGTAGTAACCGCTGTCCCTCAAAGGGTTCAAATTGGCACGGGTTAGGAGGGACACAGCCTTGCCGAGAGCTGCAAAAATCCGCATCTAATTAACACCTAACCAGAAAGGTTTTCTAATTGCCTCTCGATACCACAAGATGACCCAAGTTTGAGAACCACGAGGAGACACGATTTAATCATTTCTGAAGTTTATAGAAGAGCTGGTGTTCAATAGTGTCCTGTGATACAAGTCACCAAATAACTCCATTTATATGAACTGTGCGGTTATTAAAGGGATAAGGGGAACTCATTTTCAGTAGTCCTGTCTTGTGTTCATTCCTCCGAGGGTCACAATATTACTTTGACACCAAATGGATTGGAATGACATTTAGCGCAGACAATCGCCATCTAGAGAGGATGAAACCGGATTCCGTTGTTGATCTTTGAAAGCTTTTTTTCTCCCTCATGCTTCTCCGAGACTGGCATTTGGGGTTTGAGATGGATGCCCTCGCACGTATGAAATGGACTTTAGTAGTAAAGACACAATTGATTGTGGAATGGAGATTGCGTTCCAGCAACAGGGTGGCACATGTGGTCAGCGCGTCGGCTTCACAATCACATACCTGTACTGGATGAGAAGAGTGGTCAAAGTGGATGAAATCCCCCCCCATAATAAAATATGTGAAAGAATCACGTGGAGAGAAACTGATTTTCAAACATCTTTGATTAGCTTCATAAAAATGATTCCATTCATATTTACAGAACAAAAGTAAGCGGTTACAATATTTTGAGGCCATAAGCGCACAATTTAGTTTCAGCAAATAATGATTGGCTTCAAAACGAAAATGTTGGTCGCCAATTTAACATAAATAGCATGGAGCACAAACACTGTTGAAGCAGACATCAACATTAGTATATATATGATATATTACTAGAGAGTAGAAAACTTGCAGTTTACACAATAGCACAGAAATATTATACAGTTATTCTTTTTTTTTTCATCCTGAATAATCTGTGACACAATCAATTTCTATACAATTCAACTGAAATCTTGAGTTCACCGCGACGGTCAAATCGGCACGTCACTCAAAATGAATAGGACTTTGATATTCAATTGACCCAGTAAGACACGTAAAAGCACAACAGGAACAGCCAGATATTCTGTATGAAGAATAATTACAATGCGTGAAAGTGTAAGAAAAAGAATTTAGTCTTGAACTTGGCCCTATCGAAGAATTGAACAGCTCTGTCACCTGCTGGGCTGTACAACGGTTGTCATTGACCGTCCTCAAACTGGTAATGCATGTGAGGCGAGGCCAGGAAATGAAAGGTTATCTTCGGCAACAATTCAAGAAAAGTCGCTAACACTTCAACCGGTAACGACTGGCCGAGTCAAAATGGCTGGGGCTGTCAGTATTAGTCCTAGGTGGTTTTAACCAGGTCGTAGACGTGGATGTGGACGTCGTCGTCGTATTTGATGTAGTACACCGTGGGCTTGGCGGGGACCTGATAGATGACCAGGCCTGTCCTCTTCAAACCGTTATCTGTGACGTACTCCACCTGTTTGCCCACGAGGCTCTCTGGCTCCTCCCCCGGCTTCCTGTCTGCTGGTAGCAGGTGTTTGTTCTCTGCGCGGTGGACAGAGAAGGAGGACGACATTTTGAATTATAAACACCAGCAAGAACATCTGTGCGCCCTTTACATGGCAGTAACGTCTCACGTTTCATCGTGACAAGCAAATCATTGCCCCATCTGGTCTCAATTTCAGCTTGGCGGTGAACCCGTGTGGCCTATTCGCTTCTCTCAAATTCACCTTCTCATATTTTTTTTTTGTTTACATGTTTTTGTGTGTCAATAATAGACAAGATGTTGACAAAGCCCCGGCTGGGCTACCTGATTCAGGAAGAACACGAAGATCGCCGTCCTTGTAATCGTCCCACAGCTGGTACATGTAGAGCACGGGGTCCTTCTCGTAGGTGATGTAATACCAGTGGGTCATGATGGGGGCCCGAGACAGCACCATGCCTCTCCATTCGTTTTTCTCACCGTCCTCCTTCTCAAACAGATGTTCCACCGCCCGTCCGACCAGCTCCTCCGCCCCAGGAGGCACCTTGATCTTATTATTCACTGCGGGAAAAACAGGACAACTTAATGAGCCTGCTGACCAGGAAACCGTTCGGATGGAGCGAAGTGCTGACAAAGCGCCTTTTGCGCAACGATCAGCTGTTCTGACGCTGTCACGTGCATAAAGCGAGCAACTACAATAGCAGCCAGGTGAGCGCTGACATTGTTTAATATACTTCCTCTGGTTACTTGACAGATATTTATTGGAAATTCAGTCAGACAGACACAACATAAAGAACAGAAGAAAAAAAAAAGTCAAAACGGGATATGTCGACAATAACGTTACATCGAAGTTGGATTTCATCGAGGCAATTCGACATCCGATGAGAACGGGACACAAGTAGCAAATAGGACAAATGTGTCGTGACACTCACCGACTTTCTCGGCCAACACCTGCAGATTTGACACTCGACTGTCTTTGAACAACTCGATGCCATAGACGCAGTCGAAGCCGTCGTATTTGACCATGTAAAGGGAGCTGTTGACGGTCAGCCGTTCCAGAACCGTGCCTTTCCACTTGGTCACGTTGCCCTTCTCCCTCCAGTTGTGCTGGATTCTGCGGCCCAGCAGGTTGTCCGGGTCGGGGCTCAAAGTGGACGCCGAGCTCTCGCTCAACTCTTCGCTGCTACGCTTCCTGTCAGAGCGGTACAGTGTCAAATACTTTGGGGTGAATTGGGGTGATTGTATTTTATGCCTTTGTAATGAGGAAGTCTTCGGCACAGAAAATGAATTTACCAGTTTGTTACCATTTTTAGTTCAGCTGCCAAATGATCTCAGTGACATTTTAATTTAATGACACTTCAGCACATGTTCATGATGCACGATCATCACTTCAAAGATGGCGACGATGAGATGGCAGCCTGTGATGAGAGCGCTGCTCACATTTTTCTTCGAGCTTGCGTTTTTCTACCCTTTTTGGTGTTCATTGTGCATCATATTAGTGTCTGCCGTACATCACATTGTACATCAGTTTGTTTTAAATGTCATTATTTGCATTTGCTTTTATTTTGCCTTGTTTTGCTCCATTGTCTGCAGCCACATCAGCATTGCCGAAGAGAATGGGTTCTCAATTGCCAAACCTGGATTTATAAAATATTAATAAATTGATCACATACTGCCCATTTGCTAGAGGGCTTTGCTTTGGTTCATAAGTGAGCTGGAGCCTGCCCTGTATACACCCTTGAAAGGTTGCCAATCAATTACAGGACACACATAGTTACTTTCACACCTATGAACATTTTAGAGTCTTCAATTAACCTAACATGCATGTTTTGGTGATGTGGGAGGAAACCGGAGTGCCCCGAGATAACCCTGGCAATATACGAATAAATATGTTTTATCATTTTTGTTGAACCAAAATCCCTTTACAAATCAGCTCAATCAAAAATAATTTTCTTGCAATCCTTCAGCATCAATCAAGCTTGCTGGTGAAATTACCTGCCCCGCTTCTTTGACATGTTTCCATAAAGTCACACAACCCTTCGAAACACAAAAGACACCAGTTAGTGACCATGACATAACCAGTTTTCTCCAAACCACCCATAGATGACTACAGGCGTACAATGTTGGTCTTTTAAATGCTGCAAAAAATGTCTTTGCGGACAAGTGTCCTTTACAAATCTCATTCCATACGCACATTTGAGTGCGTGCAATTCAAACACTTGTCTACAGGTTTACAACTTAAAAGGTAAACGTGCACATTTCTTGCATTTGATGTACCTTGAGTGGACTGTTCACACACGCTTCAAAATCATGATTTTACTGTAGCACACATATGCAAATGAGCCAACTGTCCGGATGTAAACATTTACTGTAAGAGCTAATTGCTAATGCTAACTATTATGCTTACTGTAGCGCCGTGCGGGTTATTCATTTGTGCACATTACAGAAGGCTGCCTCGCAAAAAAAAAAAAAAAAAAGCCTAACTTCACAATGGCTAACGTTAGCCAACTAAATTGAATGTCGACGTGTCGTCGGTAATGAATAGGATTGTGTAAATGGGACTTAATTAAATGCGACGTATTTTCTTAAGTGAGCAGAGTGAGAAATTAAGTTGGAATATTGCGCCAACATTTTGCAAGTAAGCTAACTAAACAAAAGGAAACGCATCGCCATGTAAGCGGTGATTTTTCTATCCGGACTATAGCTACATTTTTAAATGGGTAAAATAAGGACATGCGGAGAGGAATTAATTCATATTTTAAAGCATCTCGACGGGTTTGTCAGGTGAGAGCTGATAGAATAAGACGTTTGCCCTACCTGATCAATATTTTTACGTGTGTTTTCCTATGAAGAACAGATTCCACCACCTAAGGTAGGCTAAATAAGGAAACGAATTTAAGGACTACAATTCCCAGGATCCAAACATACAGCCATGATGCATTCTGGGATTAAACACTGCTTGACGTACTGCAGTGTTTCCGGGTTAGGGTGTAGTGCCCTGTTTCTCAGAAAACGAACACCATTTTTTTCCTATTATCACACAGTATGTAAACGTTTGTTTAAGAAATAGATATGTACCTTCAATAATAATGTAAAATAGCTGCCATATACAGTACTTGTTAAATAAGCAGCCGCGACCACAAATTTCACAATATTGCTTCACTGTTGTAGGCTTGACTGTATATTTGCTAATGTGTTCCTGTTTAGACATACATTATTTTGTCATTGTTTTGATTCGTAGGTCGTATTCATGGGCACAGTTTTGGGTTGAAGTCAACAATTCCGCCACTAGATGTCACACTGAACACAGTATCTCCTGCATAAGCCAGTGAGGAAAAAAAAAACTCGAGTTGAGTGGTGAGGTAAGTGAATGCTTTTCTTAGCTGCATTGGGGGCTAATTGAAGTGCACCCTTTAATAGGGATTTTTAATACACCGATTATATAAACTCAACAACTGTACAAAATCACCACTATCATTAAGTAATCAAAAAGCATTTAGAAGCAAATACAAGCACTGATGAAATAATGAATCATTTATTGGTTCTCATTTTTTGTTTGTTTGTTTTTACACCAAGTTACATGTAAAAGAAATGGATAGCTTTCCAAGAACCATCATCAAGACCAACATTCAAATACAGTAACAGAATAGACGTTTATCAAAAACAATACCATGGTTTTATTCCTAAGAACTCTGTGTAATATTTAGTATAAAGCACCGCACGATTAGGCACAGTTTGAACATTGCCACTACGTTTAGATACATGAAAAACAACAAAACATTTTGATCAGATATTTTTTAGAGGACTTGCCTACAGATGGAATTCAGTCAATTCAGAAAAAAAAGGTGTGATTCAGTGTTGTTTGACTGCAAAGCTGAAAGCCTTTGTGAGTACGCCAGTGTTGTATTGACACAAAGCTGTCCGCCGTCCAAGGTTACCTCCTCTTGTCCTTGTTGTCAGAGCTACAGAAAAGACCCAAATCCTTCTCTGTTCTCTACAGGAATGAACCAACCTTCTTTTGTCTACAACGAACTGGACACATTAGACACACATGACTCACATCCAATGAAAGGTGGGATTTTTTTTCCTCTCTCTGTTATATGCAGTGAGATTATACACTGCGGAGTTTTAAAGTCAACCCAAGGTTAGTGTGTCCACATATGTGTGTCCATTGATTAGTTATCTCTATTATTAGCCAAGTGCCCAAAGTGATTGGAAGTATGATACCTTGAGAGGGATGAGATGTCATTGCTGCAACATACATGTCTGGAAAGTAATCCAATCCTACTTTGACGTGTGTGTGTGTGTGTGTGTGTGTGTGTGTGTGTGTGTGTGTGTGTGTGTTGGTTTGTTTTGTTAGGACTCAGATCGTAAAATTAAAAAAAAAAAGTTTTTTTTTTTAATGGTGAAGGTAACTATGTTTACTTCTTTTACGTAATATTGTCACGTCACAGGTTTAGGGTCATTTTAATTGTGACAAACTGGCAGAATTCCTCATCCTTCCTGACTTGATCATTTTTTTTTAGCTTCAAATATTCCAGCAGATGTCGCTGCTCCGTCAATCCACAGTTATACTGTAAACGTTCGTTGTATTCAAGTAAACTTGGTACATGTTTAACAATACTTACAATTCATTGACTCCTTTGAGGAAAAAAGAAACATGCAACATGCTGTAACTCATCTCGTTATTTCATTACATCTTCACCTTGTAAAGACCATACCCGTTTAAAAAAAAAACTATCATGAAAAACAACTCTGTATGAGGGTGCACATAGAAATACTGTACTGTGATACTGTGAAATTCAATATTTTAACTTTTTTTTTCACTTTGGCAGCATATGCATAATATGTATTGACTCAGATAATAATTTCCTTATGAATACCTTGCATTCTCATTTGCTAGGAGAAATCACATGGTTCTTTTGCCTGAAGTAGGGTACACTCTTAACTTTCACCCAAAAGCTGGACTAATCATAAATCCAGAGTCATGTAATGTTTCCATCTTCAATGGTCATTGCAGTGGCATACAAATATACTCTGTGAATATCTCAGCTGTGAATGGGTTACAGTAACCAGTGGTTTCTTTCTCCTTCAAGACATTCCAAAAGATTTGAATTAAGTTACGACTAATATTTGTCTCATGGGTCTCGTTGCTTTTCAATCTTCTCTAGCTTCATGATTGCTTTTTAAAATTTTTTTTTTACTCATAGACAGCTTCCTGGTTTGTGTACGTTACACCTCCAGTTTAAACAGTACGCACAGGCGTGTTTTTTTAAATAATCAATGCGGTAGATCATTAGTGATATCTCGTCTTGTGTTTGACTTTTAATGTCAATGCCAAAGGTCCGCACAGCAAAAACAAATTAATTGGTCTCACCGCTGAAATATCTTTGGAGGGGAGTGTATTTTGGTGCCGTTTGGACGCCTTGTGTGCGTTTGGTGCTGATGGCAGGGTGCGCTGAGGACACGTGCGTCTTAGCGTGGATGAGGAAGAGACGGAAGGAGAAGGAGAGCTGGTTTGCAGCTTTACCCTTCCAGTGACTCAGCAATTTCAGAGATGAATTCTGTAAATAATCTCCTCTCTCCTCGCCTTCTCCCCGCTGACCTTTTCACACTCCACCTCCAGCCCTCGCACCCAATAATCATTCAAGTCTCATTACCGAATTGCTTTTGGACACATAAATAACATCTCATCATTGTAATGACTCTCAGTTGGGGGTAAAAGGAGGACGGACTATTTAGAAACTCATCACATTCGCATTGATTGAGGTGGGAAATATAATGGGGTTAAATGGAAGGGGGTCGGGGAGAAACTATTAATCACATTGTGTTGGTTTGTGGTGGGATCTTCAGTTGAATGCCCATTACTGACTGACTGGCCTCATGTGTTTAGTGCAGGGAGAGACGTCAGATGCACTCCGGTGGACAGAAATAGACTGTAGTGGGATATGTGAGCAGAGGAGAAGGGAGAGGCCCTTGCTATCCTGCCATCCGAGATAATGCAGACTCTTCTGCACTGTGAGGTGGCGAATTAGAGCCCAAAGAGACAATGGGCTCATGTGTGTCTTTGTCTATTCCCAGTCACGGGGTTGAGCCGATCTTCCAGAAAGATGACAGGAGAAAGGAAATTAGTCACTTTGTGTACGTGTCACTAATTTCGACTCTGTTGATGACGATGGTTTTAGTGAAATGCGTGCGTATTATCCTAGCTTTCTTCAGTAGATTTCTGCACAAGCCTGCAGCAACTTACAGATGATTTCACAGGTTCGGGAACTATCTGAGTGGTTTCCTGAGCACACTGTTTCGTGTTGTATTGAGGTATTTTTGCTCAGTAGCGTCCTGCGGTTTGTTTCCCCGCAATTATTCTAATTGATGAGATACAGTCGATAATATTCCCTTGTTGTCTTCAAATATGTGAATGTGAACAGTGTTGTGGTTCACTCGAGGTAGCACAGTATAGTCACACAGACACAAACAAAGAAGGGTTTCACGAAACTAATTTAAGTGAGTCAGTAAGACACAGGAATTAGTTGTTTGTTGTTCTTATTATCGAAAAAAAATATTCCTGTGAGCATTGTTCTACTCTCTATCTACATGTGTTGCTGCACTATTGGTGTTTATATATACATTTTTTAAAAGTATTATAACACTGCCGCACCATTTTTCATTGATTAGTCCATACACGTTGTGTGTTACCGTTAAACTAGTTGACTTTAAAGCAAAGTTACGATTGATAAATACACTTTATTATTCTTTCGATAAACTGACCCCACAAGAAATGGATTGAAAAAGGAATTACCGAAGTAATGAATCAACATACAAATATAATAAATACACAGGGAGTAAGTGCGTACTGTACTTGAATAGACATGTCACAATGCACCTCACATCTAATCGCCTCCGACATACATTTTAGTCCCTTACAAATTGAAAGAGTGAAATCCTCGACTTGCTCTCCTAATTTTCCTTCACCTGATCACTCGTGTCGGCAATAAACACTTCCACCTCAACTGGCATTACATTATTGATAGGATGAGTGCCCAAGAGTAATCGGACATGCCAACAGAAACTGCTAATGTGAGGCAGTTACACAATCTTTCTCCCCGGAACACGGATTTGGCGATTCTCAATCGACCCGTCAATGTCTCGCTCTCCACCTTTACACGAGCATTCCAACAATTAAACGTCTCCTCTTAAATAGATGCCTCGTTCTTATAAACACCTCATCCTCTCCCCAGCTGAGCCGTGCTACTATTTTCAGCATTTGGTAAAAGGAGGAAGGATGAAGGAAAGTTCACACAGGAGGATGGACTCGTTGCGAATATGGTCTGTCTTTCTGAAAGTGGAAAAACACAAGAAGGATTTGTCATTAGACTGAATGTTAAATGGGGAGAAACTCAACAGACAGAGGCACATTAAGGCTTGTGGGGTGGACTTACCTGAATTCTCTTTGATCCCATCAGACAGAGAGAAAGGGAGTGAGAACGTGGCTATTAGGAACCTCGGGGGCACTCAGTGTAAAATGATGGATGCTGTGTTTTTTTTTTTCCTTCGGATCCCCCCCATTGACAATTAAACTGTCTGCACCTCGCACCCAGAAAATGCACAGCCCACTTGACACATCCTTGCTCAGTGCCATCAATCTTCTTTCAGGCCACTTAAAATTATGGCTGGATCTTAGATTTCTACATAGAGGGTTGGGTTCCACGATAGCATTAAAAAAAAAAAATCTCTGCATACTCCTCACACGGTTAACTAGCAAGTAGCGAAATGAAAAACCTCACAAAAAGCTGGAGAGAGGATGACAACGAGAAATAGATGATATAAATAACATCTTTTGTGAAGAAGTACTACCGAGCTGCCCTTGAGCAAGAGTTTCAAATGAATCATGTTTATGTAAAAATGTGGTCTTGGGAAGCATCGGAGGGGTTGCTGTGGTCAGGGTTTCGCAAAATGTTGTAAGTGTGGAAATTAGTCCGTCAAAGCAACATCCTTGATGTGACAGGACCACAGTTCTGTATGTGTGTGTGTGTGTGTGTGTGTGTGTGTGTGTGCGCGCGCCTCAATGTGTGAGTGTGTCGGCTCTGATGAATAGCCAGAGTGTCACAGAGTATAGACCTTGACAGTGCAGAACAGATGAGGTGAGTCAGAAGCCCAAGCTTTGTCCTGGCTTTCGTCACTTCACTCGGCGGCTCAGAGCAAATATTATCAGTGGATGATGGAGTGAAATTAGTGGGCGGGGACCTGTGCTTCCTATCGCGTGACGATTCCGGTTGAAAAAGCACCTGGTAGATTAATAACGGCGTTGCAAACACAGTTGTTGGGTGCAACTTGTAAATGTCGTGTGGTAAAACCTGGACATTTCTGGCTTGTCAGTAATAGGAAGAGTTTAGCAGAACAGCTGTCGTGACTGTTTGCTTCGCCTGTTTTTGTTGCTATGGAGTTGCTGTGGCTCTTTTATGCTTTGTATCTTTTTTTGTTTTCTGTCATATAGGCTTGATGTGTCCCAGTATATAAAATTGGATGACTCCGGGACAGGTTGTCAGTACGTCAAGCTTTCTACCAGAGTGTCAGCTCTTCCGTTGTCTTCAGCATCCAGCCCTGCTCTCTGTAGTTGCTTTATATGAACAAAGATCAAGATTCTTACTTTTCAACTTCCGTATTATGTCTGCTCCTGGGTCCTAATTTTGCTGCTCGCAGAAAGCCCTGCAGACTCTCCTCAAAACAAATAAATAAACAAACAAACAAATAAATAAATAAATGACGGTTTAAATACATGTGGAGATATGTGTGCAGACTGCTGATATGTGTCTCTTAACGAGATTAGTAAAAATAATATTTGCTCCTTCACCCCGAGCCCCCACTCATTTCTATGCATTGCTTGTCATACAAAATCACGATAGATTCTCATGGGAAAAGCTTCGGTAATATGTTCATAGATTCGTGGCCAACGAGTAATGCAAACTCCCTTCCTCCTTTGCGAATGGGCCATTGCACGCGAGAGTGATTTACAGATTCCTGTGATCTTTAGGACGTCATGTGTCCTTGGACGAAGACTGCATTGATCCATCAGAATTGAGTCTCTCTCTCTCTCTCTCTCTCTCTCTCTCTCTCTCTCTCTCTCTCTCTCTCTTTTTTTTTGGTCGATATAAACAGTAAAACAATGTAGAACACCCTCAGGAGCCACGGGTGAGAGTGCCGTGATATATTTTTATCCAGATGACACGGTGAACGCGTTGCTTCTTGCTCTCTCTCCTACTGTTTGTTTTTCCTTCAACCATTTGAGCCTGACGCACTGCTCACATCCTCCCCAGCCTGCTTCACTGTCCAGTAACTGTGATGCTTATGCTGAGGCCTGCGGCTACTGGATGACTGACTTATGCAGCCCCCCCCCCAAAGTCTTCCTGATCCTCCAACCTCCCCACAACCGCCTCTTTGCTTTATCAGCCTGTCTTGTTCACTGACTCATTCACGGACCCGGAGCTTTAACCGAATGCTAATCCTGATTTCAAAATTGAGCAGAGTTCTTGTGACACTCGCCAGCTGCAAAGACACATGGGGGTTCAGTGGGTGGGAATTATTTGGGAAGATACAGTCCATAGCACTACAATACTGTATTTCATTGCAAACAGTGAAAAAAAAAATCACCAGAGGTGCCAAAATCAGTGGCACACTGTTTTAACCTATTTTTCCATATATACTGTAAATAATAATTTCCTGTAACACATCCGATGACCTCCTCACGGTTCATGACTCAAATAGTTGGGAAACACTGACTTAAGAGTCTTTTCCTTTACGTCACATGTACGTACCCATGCACAAAGTTTCATTGACACGGTAACACTGATTATGAATCTTTTTTTTTAATGCATAATCCTGTTTGTGCATTCTAGATGGAGGTAAAAACAGTCATTCAGAGATAAGAAATCATCTGGTGTCTCCCATATGGCAACAAAGGAATAGTAAAAAAAAAAAAAAAAAAACCTAACAAACAATGAAGACATTATTGAAGTCCCCTATGGTAATAGAGTTTGGTGGGCGGGAGGACGGCATGGACTAAATAAGCAAATGGCCCCGTGGAGGTAAAAAGCTATGAGGGTTGTGCAGGAGATGCTGATATGATTAATTGAAGTAGGACAGCCAGGGACACGGGAGAGGGCCGCCGCTGCAATGAAAATGAGGTAGAGGACAATCCTTGGATGTGTACAGTATGAAGGTGGATACGCTCACTACTTAGACTGTTGCCAAATTTGTTGCTGAGCGGACTCTTGCAGAATTCCGATTTGAGAAAGGTGCCAAAGCGACTGTGAAAAACTGTAATGTGTTGATTAAACAGCAGTATCCTTGCGCTGATGGGCTTTAGGTTGCCCACAATAAAAGGCCGCTCTAAAATGTCTTTGTGCAAGCTATGTTTTGCACTGCGCGAGGAAAATGGTGGTCACACCAGAAACTGACTGGTTCTCTGCCCCCGCAAACCTTCCCCCAGTCAGTAAAACTGCACATATTATAGTGTATTTTTATTGTGGGGTGCCTAAAGCACACCTGTGCAATTAATGAGTTGCGGTAGCTGGATGGATGGATTGATAGATGGATGGATCAAACGTGTCACAAGAGGAGAGGGAGAGAAAAAGAGAGGTAGACCATGTGTCACGTCAAGGCAGAACTGTTTCAACGCACTGCGGATGGCCTCGCCCACATTTGTAGCAACACAATGTTGAGCTCGGTGTTAAAACCGCCTCACCTTGCATGTAATTTTTATCATCTTGTCTCTGTGTGCATAATCACTGAAGATCCAGACACCAGTGTGTGTGTGTGTGTGTGTGTGTGTGTGTGTGTGTGTGTGTGTGTGTGTGTGCGCGTGTGGGAGGGGAGGGGAGTGTTTAAAGGAAACAGACGTCGAAGGAATGGGTGGGTGCTGCTCCCAGGCTGCTCGAGGAGTGTGTCCTTGGACTGCCCTCATCTCTGACGCACACACACCCACCCACCCTTTCGCACACAGGCACACTCATAGACATTTGCACACGCACACACACCACGGCCGCTTCATTTGCCGTCACTTCACAAAAGACAAATACACAAAAAGAAACATTTGGACCTTCATATAAACACTTCATGTGAGATTCAGGCAAAAATGTACTGCGCTATTACATTTATGTGTGTTGGCGTATACACACACACACACACACACACACGCACACGCACACACACACACACACACACACACACACACACACACACACACACACACACACGCGCACACACATGGACACAAACGGAGAAAGCCCTGAGACTGAGCTCAGACATCTCATCGAGGATGCAGCATAGCCCCTGTCTGCAGAAAGAGATCTCGTCTGATGTGGGGTGCGATGAGGGTGGAGGGGCTACTGGCTGATTTACAAGGTTGAGGTGTGTGTTTTTGTGTCAGGTTTGCAAGATCTTCGTGGATATGCACACACAAATAAAAAAATAAATAACGAAATAACAGCGACAATGAACAAAGGTCCACGCGCACACAGAGATCATTATGCCAATGCGCTCATCTTTTTATTGCACAACAATGTAATCGTCTTTTTACGAACGCCTAAAACAACATTGCCACTGACTGACAGACCAGCTTATTGAGAGAGACCAGGGTGTGGCTCCATGTTGTCGGCTATAGCAGAGGTGGTGGACATGACAGCCGTTTTGGATGCAAGCTCAACTCGGGCCACACTGAGAGCAGCTTTGAGCCTGGATTGTTTGTCGACATTAACTTAGACACACCCGCACACACCAGAAGATGGTTGCAAACTGCGGCCCCTCCCTCCCCCCTGAGCCACCCAGCAAAGAGCGACAACACTTTTCCTGCATCACATAGTCTGTGCTGTTTTCTACATGTTGCTGGTAAAGTATCTCTGGTTGCAGAGCCAAGACTATGGAATGCTACTTGCATGTGCTCAAGTCATCTGCAGGAGATTTACACAGTTTTGTTCTTCCGTATAATCGAGTCGTGATTGTGTAAAACTGCCCCGGCTTTTTTGCTCGTGTGTATTTCAAGCCTTCTCTAAATAGAATCGTATTCTCAAGTGGGACCGACATTATCGAAGGAAAGGCACAGGAACATACACGCACACATACGCAATAACTTCAAGCACACGATACAGTGAGTCCTGAAGCAGACAGAAGGCTTAGTTAGGTCAGCTAAGCGGGCTACAGTAGCTACGACACAAGAGTTTGAACTGCGAAATGAAGTCATTGTACAGCGGTTGGTGGTACACGACAATGTCTAGAATTTGAAGGTCCCACTTAGAATCATGTGAAGCTAGATAAATAACAGCATGCGCTCAGCTATTGTGTGTCAAAGTAACCCAATCAGGGAACAGGTTTGTGACGTCTCTTTTTGTGATCAGGGTGCAACCAACGTTGGTGTTTTAAGTAAAAAAAAAAGAAAGAAAGAGAGAAAGAAAAAGAAAAAAACGTGCAGCAATTTTCCAGCGTGTGCCTACTTTATCTTTAGTCTGCAGGCATCCCCACTTGTATTATTTTCATAGCAATTTGGTCATCCAAGCTAACGTTTAGACTGTTGATATCCACCAGAAGCCTGTGAGAGCAAAGCCTCTCACTGTATAAAACAGTATTTGTACATCAGGTTGCGGTAAAAACACAACAATGTGCCCCACATCGCTGTGTACACCATATATACAGAATATGAAATGACGGAGTACAGCGCGCATGGTGTTGGAAGGCTCAAACCAACAAAAATGTGCAAGATTGTGATTTCCCAAATCAGGGAAAATTATAAATACTGACATTGTCATTTTTAGGTTAGCAATACTAGTCTTCGGCTAATGTTTTTTTTTTTAAAACACATATTGCAAGTTAAAAATAAAAAACACAAATTAGCATTTTTACAGGCACATAAATACCACAAAAATAGACTATGTGGAAACTAGATATACTAGGCACAAGGTATATACAGTCCATGTGCATGGGGCACATTGTAAAAACAAGGACCAAAAAAAACGATACGGACAAATTAGAAGACACATATACCTATATCTATATATCTATATATCTATCTATATATATATAAAGAAAACGAAGACCCTGATTTTGCTCACATTTCAACACCAAGGCATTCGGTACCCTTTATATCTGGTACAGCAACAAATGAGAGGTTTGAGTCTTTCATACTCTCAATAATTGTCAGTCAGTGTCAAACATATATGAGAGGTTCTCGTCCCACCTGACAGATAGGTCCAGAAGCAGCACTCAGAAACCCCGACCGGGTACGGGTGGGGGGGGGGGGGCATCTATAGGACGCTATCACATGCAAAGCATGTATGTGCTTGGCCGTGACGGTCAAGGGTTCTGGTTCTGGGATGTCATCCTTTCCGTGCAGAGTGACTGACATACTCAAGACTGGGCGGATGCAATGGAATAGTGTCTGATATTGCCTGAAACATTAGCTCTTTAGCTCTCTTAGCGTCTTTGCTCTAACTGACTGCGAACCCCCTTCAAATAATATCAGCACAGTCCTGATAGCAGCTTAATAGGGCAAACTCTGGTATTAGCACAAAAAGGAACATGGAGAAGACCAATCGATTGCACTGGAACAGTATTGAATGAAGCACACGACAAGCTACGGACTCAAATAAACTCAATTCATTCACAATCGTATACGCCCTTTTCGCATGTAGTGTACTGTACCCTTTCCCATAGGAAAAAAAAAAGCAACAGAAAGTTGCTGACGAATGGGGCCACCGCATGGTGACCCACTATGACAAAAGTGCGCGTGAGTCACTGAACCCAACATGACAATGCCTGACATTAAAAAAAGCGATGAGATGAAGCCCTTAGACAAAAACCAGTCACCTAAACCTTGTTTCAAGCGCAGAAGACGCGATTAAAACTTGGTGGCATCAATTTAACCCTTTCGGGGACAGCGGTTACTACAGCGGACAGCTTAACATCTTTTATCAGGTTACAGGATGCATGAAACGGTTAAAATGAAAGACGTCGCGCAGTTCGATCAACACCTTGATTATGGGGAGAATAAAGAAGTGTATATCAATCAATAGCCCACTTGGCTGCATCAATCAATACATCGCTCTCGAGAAAGGAAGCAAACCTGAGTGAAAAGTCCATCGCATCAGTTTTACTAGTTGGGCTTCGGGTCAAGGCTAACGACGGAAAAGTTGCAAATGATGCCTTGTTTGTGGAGCGCACTCAATCATCTGCCGAGCAAACTGGAATTGAATCCGCTTCGCTCCGGCCAAACCGCATAATTGGTCCAGGAGAAGTCCCGCAACCATTTTAGGAGCATTGATTTTCATTTGGATTACAAGGTTGGAGTGCAACACAAGCTGCTTAATAATGGTTTTGTTCGACCTCAGTAAATTGATTGTTTGATGCGGTGATGGTGGTCGCAAACACGGCAACCTGGAGAGGCGTCATCAAGTTTTCGAAAAAAAAAAAGACACGCGGCAACGACATACAGCGGCCCCCCTCGCATCGTAAAATGCCATTCCCATTCAAACGATCATCGCTTTATTTACATGGCAGTTCGATCTGATGAGCTGTCTTCCTTTGCGTATGGCATACATTCAGTAAGAGAAGGATGTGACTAATTCCCGAAGGAATACAACCAAAGCCTCAACTCACTCCTCAGACAGCAGTAGTCGTTTGGACTCAAAATGTTGAGACATTCATTGTAGTTTGGGGACACAGGCGACTGATTGACTTCGACTTGGACCAGAGTTATTTTTATCTTTTATCCCAAGTCGCCCACTACCTGGAGGAGTCGTGAACTCGCTCCGATGGGATGTAAAGCGGATTTTTGTTGATCTGAACCGGCTTCTTCAATCAGTCTTTTTTTCCCCCCCCTCTCCTTCTTGTTTTTCTTTTTTTTTTTCTTCTTAAAATAAGACTGCACAGCCTCCAATCCCTTCAAATATTTTTGGTTAAGGTGGATTACAATAGCTCAAGTGAAGCCACAACAGCTGCTGGCTTCTTCAAAAGTTCACGTTAAAAACAAAAGAATAAGAAATCACTTTCCTGTACAACATGTTTAGATATCTATATTCATATATATTTATATATATATAGGCGGGGTAGAGTATTGCAGAATTATATTGCATGTGTTAATCAATAAACCTCGACAAAAACAAGCAAGTATACAATATGTGATGTTGTTCGATGTCTCCATTTTGATAAAGCTGAGATTATTTAAGCGCCTTTGCCTCCAGGCTTACAATCAGAATGCTGAGCAAACGTCCGGCCACTTGGCAGATGTTTCACGAGAAGCGGTCAGTGACGCTGTCAGCATGCCAAAACTAATCAGGCCTGACGAAGCAGAGTGAGAGAGAGAGAGAGAGAGAGAGAGTGTGAGTCCATTCTCCGAAAACAAGAGCCCAAAACATACCAAAAAACCCACGCACACAAACGTACGCTCACGTATATGGATACGCACAAACCAAATATATGGCTTCTAACATTGAATCAAGGCAGTTAAATAAATGGCATTTTCTTCGATGTTTCATTTTTTCCGTTGATACAGACACAACCAGACTTTGTGTTCAAGCTCAACTTTGGTTTGGGTAGATACAATGAATAGAATATTCCTCTGTACTCTTTTTCATCAAGTATTTACACTTCGATGTAAGATCGACCAGCGGTCTACAACATTATTATTATTTTTTTTCCCCCCACTACTATTTGAAACAAAATGAAGAGCAATATGTCATTTTGCTACGACAGCTTATACGTCAAATAAAATGGACTCAAAACACTTCAACGTTTAAATTGTCATTTGACCTCAAGTCCCTGATTTTCATGTTTAACTCCAGCTCCTGCTAGATTGCATTGCATGGATTCTACACAGTATGCAAATGTTACGTTAACCATACTTTTCTAAATATCTTTACAGTAATGACAGCGATATACAGTAGGTGTTTGGAAGCAGAGTGTAAGGGGTGATACTAAGAATAAAGTTGCTGGCACAGTAGTCTAGACCAGTTCAACCTCACCTTATACTACTTTCATTGTATAGACTTCTCCTCGATCAATGTCCCAAGTCATTGAGACGCCTCTCCCTCAGCTGACATCCGGGCCCAATGACCGGCGGCGTCAGCAACAGCCGATTGGTCAGCGAGACCAGTGGCACTGACCCAAAACAAACAGATTCACCTACAAAAAAGGCCTCTTTCCTGAAATGGACCAGGGTCACAAGTTGGAAGACAGCCGAGATCTGGCAGAGTCTAGCTCCGGAAGGCTGACAATTGAATCTTTCTTGGGAACGCCAGAGTCTGGGGGCCCTGATCCAGCAGCTCCTGCTCCTGCCCCCGTTGCAGCGGGACCGCTGGGAGGAGGTGTGGAGGCGAAGGCTACCCTCTGTTGAGTGCCCACTGATCTCCCCACCCCAGAGGGCCCGGGCAGGTTAGGGTGTGGGGGTCCGATGGAGGTGTTGGACGTGCGTGTCGAGGGAGGTGGGCTGGCGACCGCGGACGCAGTTTGCGGCCCACCCTCCTGGGGGAGTGAAGGCTGGGAGGCAGACAGTGCTCGAGTATCCTGGCTCAAGCTTCCCGTGTGAAGGGAGTGGGTGCTCTTGTGTGAGGCAGGCCTCTGCTGGGTCTGTGTGGGACTGGGTACGTGGTGCTGTACTAAGGACAACTGGGAACCCGAGGGGCCCACACTGGCCATATACTGGAAAGTCCGTCCTGAGGCCGCTAAGGGGCTTTGAACGGGGGGGCTCGAGATTGCAGATCCAAATGCTCCTCCGAACGTCTGAGGCGGTTGCGACTGAAGAGGAGACATGGAGACCGGGCTTTGCAAGCTCTGCATCACCTGGAACCTTCGCACCATTCGAGGTGATTGTAAAGTTCCTGGACCCACGAGTGGATTCGCCATTTGAGGGCAGAAGCTCATGGCCACAGCCTGCTGGAGGGTGGCGATAGCGGAACCTGTCTGTGACTGGCCGGGGGGAGCGAAGATACCACCAATGGAAGGAGTCATCGACATTGCCCGTGGCCGTTGCAGGTCCACAAGCTTCACCATCTCGCGGTCGTACTTGACGATCTCCTGGATCATCTCATTCTCACGGTTGTTGAAGACGCCCGAGTTGAGATCGTGCTGAACTTTGTGCATCAGGATGGAATTCTTTTTCCCTGAAAAAAATTTAAAATCATAAAGAATATATATTTTAATACACAGTCTATCCGGGATAGAAAACAACCCAGCACGTTATGCATATATCTTAATCTAACTCCAGGAAATTTTGGTGGATCGTTTTGTGTTTGAACTGCAGGAACTATTGTCTAAATGTAGCTGCCGACTTATCATTCCATTGGTGGACGGTCTGACCTGGCCCAAACACGATCAGAAGCACTGACCAGTATTTAAAACCTTCCATCCATCCACCCATCCATCCATATTATTCTCTTCCGCTTGTCTGAGGTCGGTTCACAGGGGCAGAAGCTTAAAAGCAAGAAGCCCAGACTTCCCTCTCCCAAGCTACTTTGTACAGTTCCTCCTGGGGGACCCCAGGAGGAACAGTAGTCAGTCGACATAGTCTCTCCAGCGTGTCCTGGGTCATCGCCGGGGCCTCCTCTGAGTGGGACGTGCCCCGAACAACTCATCAATGAAGTGTCCAGAAGACATCCTATCAAGGTGCCTCATATGGGTCTTCTCCAAATGGAGGAGCAGCGACTGACTCTGAGCCCCTCCCGGATGACCGAGCTTCTCTCCCTACCTTTAAGGGGAGCCCAGACATCCTGAGGAGGTAACCCATAATTTGGTCCTTTTACCAAGCTGTGTTTTATATTCTGCTTCTCATACTTTATCACTATTGGTCATATGAGAAGCTGCTTTCTTACCTATGCGATCCAAACGATCAATAGCCACCGTCTCAAAGGCTCGTCTCATCATGGGATATTCTTCCAGCACCTCATTGAAGTCGTCCACAGACAAAGAATAGAGTCGACAATAAGTCTCTGCTCGGACGCTGGCCGTCCGTCGACCCCTCGTCAACAGACAGATCTCTGAAACAATGTGTTGAAGTTAAAAAGAAAAAAAAACAACACTGGTTTGTAACATATTAGAAGAAGAACGTGTGTCATTACCTCCAAAGTAGGAGCCATCAGAGAGTTTCATTGCAAGTGTGCCTTTGGTGATGACGCTGCACACTCCATGCTGGATGAAATACATTTTCTTCCCAATGGTGCCCTCCCGTATGATGTAATCGTGAGGCTGAAAAACCTCAAAGTGCAGTTTCGTCAACATGGCCGTGACGAAGTTGGGCTCCGCGTTGGCAAACAGGGGCATGGAAGCCACCAGCTTGCGACAATTGAAGTTGACAATTTCCTGGAGGTGGAACAATGATCAAAGATATGATGTGTTCAAAGATAACAGCATGGACACACACACACGCACACACACACACACACACACACACACACACACACACAAATTGTGGGCTTAGTTTGTCTCACCTCTCGGAGGGGCTCGCTGAGTTCTCCCAAAATGCTCTCCTCGTCAAACATCTTGCCCTGGTATCTGTGCTCGTAATAATCATGGATCTTCTGACGGAAGTCGGCAGGCAATTTGTGGAATGACATGTACTGCTCCACTTGTTTGTACTATAGAAAGGAGCAGATTGGACAAAGTTAGTATTCTTTTCAAAAACACTGGACACCATTTCATGAGATCCTTTGCAAAATCTCTCTCAAAAATTCATCCTGCATCCCTAAAAAAAAAAAAAATCTGAATTTGTTGTCACAACCTTATGACTTTTTCCTCAAAAATAGGCATCTTTTTTAATTTGTATGGCATTCAGAGGTATGCCTGGTAGTTTTGATTAATTGCTGTTCAGGATTATGAGGAGTGTGGTTGCACAAGTGTGCACAACCTCTGATGACAAGGGTGTGGCTGCGTTCAAAATATATTCCATCACATTCAAACTTATGTCAAATGGAAGTCAGCCTTCTTCCTTTTCTTCTTCTTCTTCTGCAAATAACGGACCGGCAAAATTTACTGACGCACCCACCTCCAGCAAATGCTTTTGTTACCGTTGGTGAAAAGGGGACTGCAATGCACAGAAAGTCAACACGATAAGGGAACGGGGATTTTGTGTGCCAGTCCAAGATCTAATTTGAATATGTACCAGTCACAGGACCAGCCAAACGATACCAAAAAGTGTGACTTGTCTTCTGAAAAATAAAGTACTCAAATACCAGTACATGGATGAAAAAAACCTACTTGAGCAAAGTAACACAGTATACTTTATTTCCTACCACTTTTACTTCAAGTCATGGCAGTCTTTCTACATTAGTGTACTCCAAATGCCAAATGACAGAACCTTGACACACGTGACACCATCTTTTATTCTGGCCTTGAGAATGTACCATCAGCGCGGTAATAGTGTGGTGTGAGATGTGCTGAGATTAGCCTCATGATCATCCTAATCAGCATTGTGTGAAACACTTGAGCAAAGCCTCTAATGCAAGGTTCAATACATGTCATATACTGGAAATATTATGTGCTTCAGCTCAGGGCCTCCGCTCCACTTTAAGGTTGATTGGTTCCACTTCATATGGACCGTGCAGAAATTGTATAGCCCTTGTTATGAATAGTCTCTCAGTTTCAGGGACCAGAGTGGAGCATTAAATGCATCACAGTTGGTGGATGACTGTAGCCTCTGACGCACGGCCATTAGAAGACATTGGGCATCATCGCTGATGTCACGCAGCCGGAATTAAAGCAGAAGAAAGAGACAACTTTTTTTTTTTTTCCCAAATAGTTTTTGTCCCCTGAGTCACCCTACAGTTGAGAAGTTTAACGAATACAAATTCATTCATTTTCCGATCCGCTTATCCTCACAAGGGTCACGGGGGGTGCTGCAGCCTATCCCGGCTGTCTTCGGGCAGTAGGCGGGGGGGACACCCTGAACCGGTTGCCAGCCAATCGCAGGGCACACAGAGATGAACAACCATCCGCGCTCACACTCACACCTAGGGACAATTTGGAGTGTTCAATCAGCCTGCCGTGCATGTTTTTGGAATGTGGGATGAAACCGGAGTACCCGGAGAAAACCCACGCAGATTACTTGCAAGGCCAGGGTTATTGTGTCTCCTCTGACTGTGAGTTGCACGCCTTTGTTTCCTCCATTTTTTATCAAGCTTGATGTAAATTAGTCAACCTTTGCTTATATGAGGGGGTATGGGGACTTTGGATACGGTCATGTGACTGCCTGGCTCTGTTTCACTGGTCAAATTGAGTCACACGCCGAAAGCTTCAATGTTCGATTGATGAAATAGGGGGAAGCTTTGTAGGTGAAAATCTTTGCTATACTTGACGTATAACTTCAGTTGTTCAACAGCCGTGCCATCTCCGTTGTCATATTTTGCACCCATTTTCAATGGGAGACAGGTCTGGGATCTTGGCAGGCCAGTATAGTTCTCGCGTTCTTTTGCTACCAAGCTACATTGTTGTTACATTCTACTGCAATGTTTGAGTATAAATAATTGCGGACCAATGCTATTACGTCATCTTGAATCATTCCAGATGAGGGTTAATGTATTGGTGTGACGCTACACGAGTCTCACCTGCGTGAGTGAGTCACTTTCTTCACGTGTGAAGTGTGTCACAAGTTTTTTTAGCCGATGCGTCAAAAGAGGCGCTGCAGCTGGTGTCCTTTTCAGACTGTAGATGAGAGGTGCTGATTGGGAACATAATGGAGGTGTCGAGAGGTGTTGGGGAGAGCCCGACGCTCTGGCTGAGCAGCTGCTGTTCCGTACCTGACCCCATTTTTGATGCAATGTAGAGAGGGTGTGGGGAGTGACCGAGGATGCTAATAAGTGAAAAAGTGATGGAATATTTTCAGAAGCACTGACTCACACTGTAAATTCTTATTTTTGTTCCATTAAATTACAGTGATTTATTCCCAACAGTCTAGTATTGCCATTTCATAGCGTTTCTTTTGGCTCGACTGCATCTCTCTAGCCGCTATATTTGTCCAATCAGATTTCAGCCTCTATGTGTTGCTATGTCAATCAAATCTGCCTGCGGCGTTCAGGATCTAGCGCCGTCCAATGTAACTGAAACTAGCTTCGTAATGGGCCTTAAAAAATCAGATTTCAAATTCACTGGCTCTTTTTTTTTTTCTGATTGGTTTGATCACAGGAAATTTTTTTTTACAGCCACCTGTGATCAGCAAAACACGTCTCTGGCAATCTGAACATGTTTAACAATCAACGTGTTTTTTTTTTTTTTAATTTACATGTGCATGTTTTTGCCATGTTATTTGAAAGTCCACATACATAATACAGCCTATACCTTACATGGTGGTATTTACGCCGTGTGCAAAACCAAGATGAAGTTTCACAGAGGAGACGGAGCAAGCAATTAGCCGGTGTGTCACAGTGGCCGCAGGGGGACTGACAACAGCCAAATGAGAGAAAATGACGTCCATTTGCTGTCACTTGGATGACGTATGTGGCAGCTCAACTCTCTGCTGACATTTTGTCATCCAAACTACCAACTCATTGCATTTTCTCATTTGTCTTTCAGCGACCAATAGAACCATTATTGCCTTTGCTTTTCCTTTCCCTTCACTTTACTTAGTTTGTCCTCCTGCACTTTCCTCCCACAACCGCTCTCCATTGGAAATTCTAATTCGGGCTCATCCCAAACGGCCGTGAGAATGTATAATTCATTCACTTCATTCCTGGCTAAATCGCCTTGTTATCTTATAAAGCACATTCGCCAAAGAGAGGAACATCAGATAGCGAGTAAATCGGAGCTTGTCCTGTCTGACTTCTATTCACAAAAGTGCATGTGGGGAGGAAAAACATTCTGTGGGGTCTCACCCTCTACAAAGTCTCTTTAAATGAAAAAGGCCTGGGAGGGAGACTGACACTACTTTGTAATTTGAACATCATACATACTTTGTAGGCTGTTTAAGAAAAAAAAAATCATTTAAGTCAGTCCTTTATAAGGACACGTGGCTGTGTGGCTGTGTTTAACTAAAGATCTTTGCGAGGTCAGCCTGCTTCGGGATAATTGGAGTGATCAGTGACAGGCTGTCTGGTTGGCAGAAGACAGAGCGCTGTTGTGACAGACGCATGGCGACGGAGGCGAGCACAGGAAGAAAACATTGTTGCTTCCTGTCATGTACTGCATCATGCCAACCAGCTCAGACTGCACAGAGTCTGCACAGCGTCTCGCTCGTCCTGGGAATTGTGATGAGTTGGTCCAGCAACACAAGAGGAGAGCAGATTCAAGTTTCATGACAGTGATGGGGTAGCCGACGAATTTCCAACGCAATAAAAAGTCTTTTGGAAGGCATGGGACAAAAAGTCCACAAGACTCTACTGTGCAGATTTGTTATTTCAATGCTGATCTATTAATCAGGAATAAGTGATCGATTTGATTGCACGTGAGACATTTTAAAGCGGCCGCACTTTTCTGCCTAATTGGAACAGCAGCGTTCTGTCGTGATGTCAACCGTTGGCTGGAGAATTGGCAGCAAAGCCAGTGTTACTCGCATTTACATCTTAATAGAATTCACTGGTAATTTAATAAGCTCAAAGTGCTCACGAATAACACTAATCCATACACTAAATGGCGTGAATGGTAATGAACCAAATTCAAGCTCATTTTGGCTATTTAGAATAAATAATGTGACCTGAGGCTGATAGGGGATTTTCGAACGCATGCCAAGGGATATTTAGTTTAATTAGGATGTCATTTTATTTTAGTCAAGATGACTTTCTATGAAATGAAAAGGAAGTCAGAAATCAGCGATCAACAACAAGCCGGTTTGTTGCATACACAGTGACTGACACAAATGACTCAAAGTAGTCAAGACTGGAAACAAAATAGCCTGCTCTGATGGTGCAGGATGAATATTATTGTGGCTTTGTCATATTGTAGAAGGGTTTTTTTTTGCACGCAAAAACAATGCAATATGATACATAACAAAAGCAAACGTGACCACTGGCCAACCCGATACTATCTCACCAGCCTGCTGACATCTGATAAATGAGGCAATAAACAGAAAAAGAAAGATAGAGTTCAGCACAGCTCAAATGGAATACTTTACAAGAAACAAGCTGTCCAAAACACCATTTTCAAAACATCTGCACTATACAGACACCTGTGACACCTGTTGAATCCCAAGTTGTTGTAATATTAGCTAACTACACAGTGTTTTAGGAGAATAGGGCCAATTGCCATTTTATAGACATAACTCCAAGAGCCATTCTTCTTTGTAAAATCATCCAAAATGTTACAACCGGAAGTGATTGAGAGTTGAATTCAACCATCCACCCATGCATTTTCTGATCCGCTTCCAACAATCATCATCATTATCCTCTCTGGCTTGACACTATCTGCTCTGCATGGTTTTTTTTCGTAAGCACAATTTGAGCTCAAATATTAATAATGCACGGAGCAACACTTTGCAGCAGAGATAATTGGACGATTGGTCAGAAATCCACTTCTCTGCCCTCAGCCCCCCCCCAACAAATATATATACATCTTTTAAGCGGCATGGAGTGTAAACACTGTTATGTAGCTCCTTTCTCCTGAAGTGCATACAAACACACACACTTAGGATAATACAAACATCAAATAAGCGCATCAGACTTCAGGACTTTAAGGCCGAGTTTCATTTTCAGGTGTTTATCTTGTTCGTGGAGTGTAAAGCAGCACATGCTGTACTGTCTATTTGTCGACAAGGACAACCTTTCAGATTGAAGCAATAGGCTCAGCTGGATAAGATTCTGTGCAGTATTTGTTGCAAAGCGGGCGTCATTTTAACTTTTATGGGAGGCTCAATCGCAGGGTGGTACCAGATTTATGGCAATATAAAATACGGTTCTTTGCCCTCTAAGGGGCTACCAACATTTAACAAAACTGTCATATTACCACTAAAAGCAGTGCCGTACTAGTATGCTTGTGGGAGTGACTGTGTCTGGAGTCCCGCTCATCTGCAGAATACAGTACACACTAAAGATGACATCACCACTAGCCAGAAATAAGGCGCTGACAAAAGCGATGTAAACAATGTAAAATAGTCCAGGCACTATTTAACATCTCGCAGTGACAACAAGGCCTCTTCATCTCCCACAGGTTACCCCCCGCCCCTACCCGCCCAATCCTCTCTGCTGCTCCATGTAGCAGCCAGCTAGCAGTACGGCACTGCATCCTCTCAAGGACACCACCCGCAAAGCGAAGAGATAGCAAGAGAGAGAAAGCAAGAGGGCAAATCAAGACAAAGATCAGTTGCGGCTCTTTAAGGGACGCAGGGTGGATGCGAAAGAAATGAGAAAGGGAGAGGAAAAGAGATATTAGAAAAAAAGGGAACCGAAAAAAAAACAAAACAGCGTCTGTGTTTGAAATCGCTCCCTAATCACCATACGGTGTACTTGAATGTGAGTTTTCAATTTTGTAATGCCATCCGGATGTGGAGTGAGCTTCCCTATAACGTGACCTCAATGTATCCCCCAATGCGTCTTAAAAAATAGTGAACAAAGATGCTCAGTAGGTTATCGCCTATATCCCATGATGTATTGCAGCTCTCATTAGAGCAAGTAGTGCTTTGTTTATATTCGTAGTGTAAACTACATTCATCTTAAAACAATATGTTTATTTCTTCAATATTTCTTCACAGACGGCCCGCCGGCTGACATTGATTCGCCATCTTGTAACTATGCGACAGCAGTGACGTAATTAACGCCGCACCCGAGTAGTGCTCCAAAACTATTTTTCATTTCGCTGATGAATGAACTGTAGTCCATTATATAAAAATCACTAATCACAATTAAGTGTTTTGTTTTTTTTAATAGACTTCTTCTTTTGTGTGTGTGTGTGAAATAAATAGTCCACACTACAGTAGCTATAGTAGAGCTTTGGGATTCGGCAAGTAATGAACGATTTCAAACGCAGCGAGCCAGGCGGCCATGTTTAACTACGTCGCCTTCAAGATGACATTGTCAGGACACACAGGTCTGCTACCTCATCAATTCTCTCGCTGCCCAAGGGGGACATCATATCACACACTCTCCCACCCCCTCGCCCCTCTGTCTCCCTTCCACATCAACACATTAAGCGTGGCCACATCGGCCCCGCCCCTGGCCATGTGCAGCCTCTACCTGGCTGAACACACCCGTGGCCTCTGATTGGCTGCTCAGAGGAAGCAGCATCCCCCGACCTCCCTCTGCGCCCCACTTGGACAGACTCTGCTTAGAAACAGAGAGGCTGCTCTGCTTCCTGTGCAGGCCACTGCCGTAGCTCTGATCTCTCCATCCTCATTCACAATGTGTCTTCTTGATAGCATGACAAAAATGCGCCCTGATTGTTAGACAGTGGTACCTTTTGTTTTATTTTTCTTTCATTGACTATGCTGCATCAAGTCCCGCATTGAAAATGAATTGATATGCCATTTATCCATCACAGTCCCCTTGTTGAGTCTTTTGAGTAAAGAAAAATAGCACCGCGTGTAAATATATAAACTGCTTTTATCAAATGTAATTACTGTACAGACTGTAGTATTTGTGTGTTGGGGTGGCTTTTAGGGATGTGGCCCGGTGGCTCAGAGTTCAGCATGAGTGTGAGTTGTGGCCTACAGCAGCTTTTTGCAGTTGTTCACATTTTGTGTTGTTTTTTTTTTTTTTTTACAGTTTGTCCCGTTGAATCATTGATTCAAAGTGCATCGCCAACCATTGCTCTCCTTGCCCACACGCAAAGTTTTTTTTTTTTTCATTTCACTCAAGTGATGGCGTACCCGAAACTCGCTCATAACTCAAACCTCAAACGTGAACGTCACACATTAAAGCTGGAGCTTCGATTTGAACCCAGGACCTCAAAATTGTAAGGCAAACCACTTGTGTCTGTGTAATGCATACACGCAGTATTGATTGGCATTACTATTTATAGTTAGCCACTTGTGTGCTTCATTATATTATAAATCAGTCAAATAGGAGGGGAATAAAAGGGATGATTTTGTCAATGAGGTGAGGAAACAAACCGATCCCGAACCATTTACGACACAGGGAGATAATATTAACATCTTTGTGGCTACTTTGAGGTTGAACTTCAGTCACATTTAAGTTATTTGACCGGCCTACCTTTTCTTGATATTGTCGTCTGGAGGAGTCCAGGGATTGGATGAGTGCTGTTGCATGGCCGATAAAGACAGCGTAGCAAGTGGCTCCCACAATCATACTCAGCATGGTGAGCCAGATATCTGACAAACTTTCCGGGGCTTGGCGGCCGTATCCGATGCACAGCATGTGGCTCATCGCTTTGAAGACGGCAAAGGAGTACAGCTCAGACCAGGTGTCATTCTAGCAAGAAATAAAGTGAGGGAGAATCAATTCGTCAAATGTGTCATTGAAATAAAAAGGCCGGTCTTGAAGGCGAGCCGTGTGCGTCTGAGGAGCAGGAGGGGGAAAAAAAGGCCTTGGGGACAGCGGGGTCATGGAAAAGCACTTTGACAAATAAGAACTCAAGGGACGGGATTGCGTTACAAAGACGTAGAAGGGGAGCGGAAACGGCGTCAGGGGAATTCTTTGAGGCCTCATCAGCTGAGCACAGAGGATGGGAAATAATTTCCTCAGAGAAAAACGGTAATAAGCAGTTGTTAAATACATCCGATCGGAGCTTAGTAAAAGGCTGCCCAATATCGCAGGAAAAAATTGTCTTGTGACTTTGGAGGTCAAAAGGAATATCTGGTTCTTAGGAAAAAGAAAAGATGGAATATCATAAATGTGGATAGTGGCTCTGGTGTGGGGCCGTAACAGTTTTGTGACAAATTGTCATTCCTCATGAAGGAAGGATAAATATCTGGATGGATTCATTGGCATGTAGTTGTATTCATTCATCCATCCCATTTCAGGCCATCTGGGACAAATCGAAATGGTTGTGAAACGTGGATAGGCGGAAGGGGCAATGGTGACAGGCTGTCATTGCTATGGATGCCTTCCTTGGGAGATTTTTGTGTCACGGTGCAGATGGGAAAACTAATCTGTCTCAGTATCTCGCACTTGCCACCTGTAACCAACTAAATCCAAGCAATGTGTGTAGTGCCATAGCTGTTTATAAAATTGAATTTTCAAAGTGTGTGTGTGTGTGTGTGTGTGTGTGTGTGTGTGTGTGTGTGTGTGTGTGTGTGTGTGTGTGTGTGTGTGTGTGCGCGCGCGTGTGCATGTGCGTGTGCGTGTGTGGAACAGGCCGACGCATAGATAGCTTGTGTGAGAGCACTGTGCGGTGGATGTGAATAATGCCATCTTCTGCATGTTTGGGTGTTTAATGAATTAGTTGCTGACAGAAAAAAAAAAATCATTTCACATTTATTGAGTGACAGTATATTCCCCTGCGCTGATGCAAACTCTGGACCCAGGCCCAGTAGGGGTGCTTTGTTCGACTCCGCCGGGGCACAAAACATGTTCCAAAGCTTCCTGGCTTTTTTAATGGGCATCCGTAGAAAGTTTTGAACGAATGTGAGAGATGTGAAAGATCTCATTAGAACACGCCGGGTTGATAGGGAACTTTCTGGCACCTCTATTTAATCATGGGCCGAACCGTAGAGCGCCTTTGGGTCTGCAGGACTCATCAGATCCCGTGAGAAATCTTAGCGAGACTCGAAATGCAAAGGAAAAAAATGGCCGACATTCGGCGGCAAACTTGGCTGCCGTGGCCGCCGAGAACCAAGTGTAAACGTAGCCTTCGAGCAGTCGACGAAGGAACAAATGCAAACAGCAGAAAAGGAACAATGTTATGGCCCTACAGCTGCGGCGCCTCACCTTCACGGAAGACTCCAAAAATAAACACAGCTCCACCAAGTGGGCTGAGGCTAAACAGTGGATGCGGAAACAGAAAGAGAAACAGTGGAGTGCAACAGATTGAATAATAGATGAAGAACGAGCACTTTGATTCTGAAATAGCGCAGTCAAGAGAGAAGAGGGGAGTCTCAACAGCTCTCCCAAGAGGGTTCCATTTGGGAGCTATCGTTGTTTTTGTTGATAATCAACATCTCCATCAGCGGCACATCGACTTCTTGACTAGCCTAAAATGCCTATTTGAACACTCGCGGGCCACTGTATTGATTGGAACGTGCACACTCAATTGAGATCCAAAATTGAGGATTATTATCTTTGAAAGGGCAAGAGATTTTTTTGACTGGGCTTGTATAAGATTTCATCGGATCGTAATGTTGTGGCTGATGAATGGATGCTCCCATACATTTCAACCTAACTGCTACCTCAAAGGTCAATTATGGTCAGTTGCTTTCAGAATTCAGGAAGCACCAAAGTTTTAAATCTCACCCCAAAAATTTGGAAGAAAATATGTCGTTTTTGTCATGATAACAGTTGGATGGATCATTTTTATTGAGAAAGTGTGGAGGTTGACCTGCCGTCCTGGAACTTAGCGTGTTGGACTTCGTCGCGTTCAAAGTATCAGATAAGAGCTGATGATGTATTGAAATTGTTGGCACTCATCTAAAAATATCCACAGCCAAAGGTGATGTAATTATAGGGATTGTTACGTTGTTGTTTATGGAGGAAGTGATCATATTTTACAGGTGTACATCCCATTCCGCTGTATTTCATATTAGCTGTCCATTTCAGGTCATATCAGAGCATCTCAAATGGATTTAAATCTTTGACTTTTGACGACAGCAAAACCTTCATTTCATTTTTCCTTTTTCTGCCGTGCCTCAAAGCCTAAAAGTGAACATGACAACATAAAATGATGGCCAGACGTTCTCCTACAGTATTTTCCTATAACTGTATATATTGTAAATGTAGATCGTATAATGTACAGTATATATCCATGGTAGGAGTGAATGGGGGGGGGGGGGAGCCCTTAAATATGGTGTTCACTTTTCTCCTCTAATGTCTCTCACCAGGGCAATTTCTTTTGGGCAATAAACTTAACTATGCATTACAGCTGCACTGGAGGTGCTGGCATCTTTGTCCTTTGGAGAGACCCTTTATGCTAAGCTAATCACCTCCTGGCCCAGGCTCTATACTTAATGGAACATGAAAGTGCCATTGATTATCTTGGGCAATTTTTGCAGCAAAGTGAATACACAGTTCATTCCTGTGACGCATGTTGGGTTTTTTCCCCCCCAACCATCTGAATGCCCCCCCCCCCTTTATAATTCACATGAGCGTGAACCAATAGCTGAGTTGTATTATTTTATGAAGGTTCTCCGTTTTGGTCTGATAACAGCATCGGTTCTCTTGTCATCCAGCAAACTAACAAACAAATAAATCCCTATTTACAGAGCTTTAAGAGCAGAAGAACACGATGAAGATATATTAGTTCCCACAGTGGAGAAATTCCAGCCAATGATGGAATCACAAACAACCGGAAGTATCACTTTGCTATGGTATCAATACAAAACAACGCTATTACTTCTAATACACAGTGAAAACTTTAAAGGGGAAGTCAACCCCAAAATTGTCTTTCCATTAATATGTTCTACACACCTTCACTAGTCTCAACACGCCATTCCGATTAATATTGCGTTTCTGCAATAAGAGTTAAACAGCAAAATCCACCCATTTTTGTCCATCTCAGGGGGCGGCCATTTTGCCACTTTCAATCAACTGAAAATGACATCAGAGTTGCCCAGGGCTCAGGTAAGGACTAATCATGGCTCACCTGTTTTCTGAAGCTGAGACATGATTGGTCATGACCTAAACCCTTGACTAATTGTGATGTCATTTTCAGTTGACAGCAACTGGCAAAACGGCCGTGCCCTGAGATGGACAAAAACAGGTGGATTTTACTGCTTGACTCATATCACATATTGCAGTGTTTATACTAGTGGGGCTGCGTAGAGCATCTTATCGTTGTGACGGACAAGGCTCTCGATAGCTTGACCAAATATAAACCAAATGGAGTTAATGGATAGAAGAGGCGGAACGTAATGAAAACAGCCTCAGTCCCTGAGGTGTTACAAGTTGTACTAAAATCCAATTACTGACTGGCGGATGTCATCCAGCGTTACACAATGTTCTCAATTCCCTCCATGGGTCCTGCCCGAGGGCCCCCTCTCCACCAAAGCCACTGTAGGGGTGTGAGCTTTGATGGATGGCCGGGCTGCAACACAATGGATAATGTTACAAGTTGTCAGCCACTCAATAGGGGGGTGGTCTCAGGTGGCTCTAGGCAGGCTGCACCACGCCAGAGCGCCTCTTTACTTTAAGAGTGACGGCTCTCTGGGGACTGGCTGTCTCTGATTCTACAAAGGGGGTAGAGCAATGGACGAGTCAGTGTCCTGTCAGTCAGAAACGTCATCGCCTCACAACTTCGGACCGAAGCAAATAGCAAAGTCATCCGTCAGTCTGCCATGTAAGTTCACACAAGATCATCTATGGATCTTGCTTGCGTGTTCACGTTTCTCTTGGCTGACCTGCGTCTAGTACATGCGGATCTTCAATCTTATTTTGTCCAATCACATTTTTTTACAGCATACTTGTCAAACTCAAAGCTCGGGGGCCAGATCCAGCCTGCGATAATACTTTATGTGGCCCACGAAGGCAAATCATGTGTGTCGATTGCATGTTTCAGGCAAACTGTCTTGACTTTTATCAACAGATGTGAGATATTGCAAGACTTTTTGTGTTACCAATCCCCCCTGTAAAATAAATGGAAAAATAGTTGAATGGAACAATGATGAAATGACCCTTAAAAGACCCATAGTGCTGCCATTTTAAGTTGGAGAAAGAGTGACCTCCGTTTATTATCAACGTCACCTCAACACGTGTTATTTTCTGGTGAAATAAAAGTTATGATTGAAATGATTCATTGTGGTCCAAGGAAAAAGAAGACTATTTTAAGTGTTTTATTCTATCATTGTGTTTTCGTTAACAAGCTTGCCAGATCCTAATTGAATTTCCTTACCTGCTACTAAAACTGTCCTATCGACACATTAAATACACGGGATCTTGTTTTATGATCTCATTAACTTCCTACTTTGTGCGGCTGTAAAAAGAAGAGTGACAGCCACCCCTCAAAGCCACAATCGAGAAGCAAGACTTGGGTTTTAAGACGTGCGGCCTATCGTTGAGGGAGGACAAATCTGTTTAAAAGTGCATTTGGCCGTGTGCCTGTGGTCTCCCCACACTTCCTAAAAGGCTGACAGATCGACGTATAAACAAGCAGCTTTTATCTCTCCGAGAGATGCATGGCAACAAAGAGCCCAGCTGTCCAGCCATAGTCACCTCCAACCCTCCGTTCCCCCTTTTATCTTTCCTGTAGTCGCCCCAGCGTGTTGAAGCTCAGGGGGAATCGCCGAGTGTGCTAAAAAAAAAAAAAATCTCTCCAGACGATCTGAGCTGCGAACAATAACAACTTTTCATGGGGCAATAATAGCATCGGCGCAAGCACTTGAGCTAATAATGGTTCACGTTGTAGCGTGGGTTTTTGTTTTGTTTTGAGCTCAACTTTAGCCATTAATCTTGAAGCCTGTATTTGTTTTCTACTCCTGACTAAAGAGGCCTTTTAGCTTGACCACCCCACGCAGTGCGGCCAAAGCTTGCATCTAATTCTATGATAAGTTCAAGATCCTGCCAATGGAATTCAGAAATATAAGTATGCCCAATTAGCCATCGTCCGTCTTTGGTGTCATGTGACTTATTAGTATAACAAAGTGTAAAATCTGAACGGGGAGCAGGCATGTTCAATGGTGTCACTCTAATCATGTTACTGAAAGTTCAATATGGCTATTTCTGGTCCTATTACTTACCTCCATTTTGTTGAGGGACACCCAGCAGTCAGAGGGGAAGTCCTGCAGCATGGGAACTAGGAACTGAAGGCAGCCGTCCCAATGACACAGCAGCAGCATCATTCCAATCAGATTGATGATCCGCATCACAGCACTGGCCAGGTCGTAGGTCATATGGAAGATCTGGAGTATGGCAGTGACATCATGAAAATCTGACAAGAATCAATCCCAATGTCCTTTTTTTTTTTTAAATTTGGCTATCACTGCAAATAGCTAAATAACAAGTCCCCTGAATTCAAATTTCACACACAGAACCGGCAACCCGCTCGCCTTTACAGTCTCCTTAAGATTAAACCAAGTTTGATAAATGTGCGGGAATGACAGGCTCCCGTCAGTCCTGCATCACACACGGCAGGGAGCAGGCAAGAGACATGCCATCATTGAGTGCTCTCAAATGCGCGCGTGTGCGCGCACACACACACACACACACACGCACGGCAGGGAGCAGGGAAGAGACATACCATCATTGAGTGCTCTTAAATGCGCGCGCGTGCGCGCGCACACACACACACACACACACACACACACACACACACACACACACACACTCCCGAAAGCCTGCGGGGACATACACACATGGCATCATGTGTGCGGACCGACATTGTATGCACACATGATGGACAGGGACCATTATGATCCTTAACAACTGATAGTCCGTGTCTGCTTGGATGTCAATCATGCTGTGGACAACCACTTCGGCCAATCAGCTTTCACCCAACAGCCTCAGTGAACTCCTGTTTATCACGGGGGACGATTTACAGACCCTTATGCCAGAGCTAAAAACTTACAATTAAGAGAAATGGAGTTTTACCCCTCCCACACAATCCAAAGTTTAAAGAGTTTAAAACACTGCACAGAAAATACTGTACAAATTGAAGCGTCTGTGGACATGTGTGTGCCTTGAAGAGGTGAGGCCTACGGTGGTGCTTTTGATATCAGCGAATCTGCGTGTGAGTGTTTAAAGTGTGATCTGTGGTCAACAGCAGCTTCAGTGCACTTTCCTGACCTCCAGTAAACAACTGAAAACTGCATCTGCAATTGTGGCTTTCCTTTTTCATATGCGAGCGCATTGAAGTCAGGAAGCGCTGTGGCATATTGAGATATGAGTTAAAAAAAAAAAAGAACAAAAAACACAATTTTAGAGTGTCATTTACGATGGACCACGATACAGCGGGCGTGCATTCTACTGTTTTGATTTTGTTCAAATTCAACAAACAGAGCAGCCGACGCGTGCCTCACGCAATGGAGGAATAAGAAAATAGGTCAGTGCAGCTGAGGGAGAAGTGAGACTTTCCGATGAAGAGGAATGGGGCGGGGCTCCTCCACAACACATGTGTTCAACTTCTCAAATAACGGTTTGACCTTTACTGGGATTTGTATGTCTGTTGTGCTTGTTTTTTTTTAACGGTAAGAGCAACTCCATGGTGTCCTATTTGAGCAATGGAGTAACTCTACAAGGTCCCGGATAAAATAAGTGATGTGTCTTCCATGATGGGGAGGGGAGATGACACTCACTCAACCCCTCATCTCCACTCTCATTCTCCATGCATGCCAAGTATTACTTCCCATCATGCATCTGTGTGTGTGTGTGTGTGTGTGTGTGTGTGTGTGTGTGTATTCCATCATATCTTCAAAAATCCAATTATCCAAAGGTCAAGTGAGCAGTGGAGGCCCGCTGCACTGCTCAGCACTGCAAAATGCCAACACCATGCTGCCAATAGTGGCATAAACGCAAAGGCAAAGGATCTCATGACATTGCCGGACCTCCTCTCCTTGGAGTCGGGCTGCAGCTCGGAGCTCGGCGGAGACAAAGTGCATCCTTTGGGGAGTAAATCAAGCCGAGGCCAAAGTCTGCCAAGCAACAGCCTTCCTCACCTTTTCTGCTGGCGTTTAAAAGAGACAATGAGTGACACGCAGTGGAAGTCGAACGAGATGTATTCCACGAAACCAGTTGACTTGTTGCTTGGTCTGATTTCAAAATAATTCCCCATGTGAAATCCTGTACAACAAATCCATCCGTCCAGCCATCTATTTTCTAATCCATTTATCCTCATGAGGGTTGCGGGCGTGCTGGAGCTTATCCCAGCTCTCCTTGGGCAATAGGCGGGGGGACACCCTGAACCTCTGCACTGTGAGGCGGGCGTGTTAACCAGTAAACCACCGTGCCGCTTGTAATGCAAATTCATTCATCAAAAAACATAAACCCATTCATTTATTTTATCTGTAAAGGCACTGTTGAGATTTTATTATTATTATTTATTTTATTATCTGTAAAGGCACTGTTGAGATTTTATTATTATTGTAAGCCACATTAACATTGTGCTTTAACATTATAAGTGCACTTAAGTGCAGAGGAGAAAAAAATGTTCAATGTTTTAATCAAATTGTTGTGCACAAAAAAGTTACATTAAAATTATACCTAAATATTTTTTTGAAGTTGTTTGAAAAGATTAAATGCCAATGTAATGAACTTAAAATTATATAATAAAATACAAATTACTTGTACTTAACCAATCCACATTAAGGGATTAAAAAAGAAAAAAAGTTGAAGTCACACTTTTCCTCTTGGTTACCTCTCTGTGGTGACACCACAAGACACCATTTTTTTTCCGAACATGTTGGTTTGTCTTCAAATTGTACCACTTTTGAGACATTTCACCTTTGGCGATTCCATCGTATATCATCGCAGTCGACCTTGGCGTTATTGCTGTGCGTTATTCCCAGGCTGCCCGACTCGGTCTTTCAGCGCTGCCTTAATTGATTAACTGTGTTTGCCTTGAGAACAGGCTGCTTGTTAGACTGCCTGATGCCTCCTGTGGGATTTCCAGGTCAGACAGTGAGAAACGGGGAGGTGGGCGCAGCGAGGGGTGGGGTGGCGGTTCAGGTGACAATAACAGTAATTAGAATGCAAAGTTTGTTCGGGTTCAAACATCCTGCTGACATTATGCAGCGCGCACCATGAGGCGAGAGGTGAGAACATGAATACTGAGCCCCGAGGCGCTCAGAGCACGAGCGGTTTGTTGGGTGCAAGCCGACTTATCTGTGACCTTTTGGCACCTGCTAAGTTGGTGGATTTGTTCAACCCGTGTGCCAGGAGTTCATCGAATGCAACAAATATTCATTTCGAAACAATTATGGCTCACCTCTTCCCATTGGTGTATGTAGCGAATTAATCGAGAGAGCCTCAACAGCCGCAGAAGACTCCATCGAATGCAACAAATATTCATTTCGAAACAATTACGGCTCACCTCTTCCCATTGGTGTATGTAGCGGATTAATCGAGAGAGCCTCAACAGCCGAAGAAGACTCAGGATCTTGGTGAAGCGGACGATCCTCAGGGCTCGAGCCGTCTTGTATACTTCGGAATCGATCCCTTTCTCCACGATTAAGAATATGTAATCCACTGGGATGGATGAGATGAAGTCCACGATGAACCACGTCTTAAGGTACTTTTTCTTGATGGTTTCAGGGTCCAAAATGATGTCCGAGTTGTCCTCGATGATGATTCCTGTGCGAAAATTGAGTACCAGGTCCATAAGGAAGAAAGTGTCCGAGACTACGTTGAAAATGATCCAGGGCGTGGTGGTCTCCTCTTTGAAGAAGGTGATGCCCACGGGGATGATGATCAGGTTGCCCACCATAAACAGCAGCATTGTGAAATCCCAGTAGAACCTTTAGCGGGCATGAGGAGTGTTTGTGTGGGGTACAGCAGGAGGGAGGAGGGAGGGTATAGAAAAACAGAGAAAACCACAGAGTCAGGTAAGATCATAACACTTGCTCCGGAGAGGAAAAAAGGCACATCAGACATCGAGTTCGGGTGGTCACCAGGCATTTGTGGACCTGGTGAAAAAAAAAAATACCACCATTTCTACAAATTGAAAACACTATTTTAATATTTTTTAAAATTATTATTTACATCATTTTTAGATTCTTTTAAAAGATAATCAGGTATGCAAAGGGATATTATCAAATAGCCAAGCTTAATTGGTCTGAAAATTATTATATTAGATCCCCCTCAAACGTGGGTCGGTGTTCGCAATATTTTTGCAGTTTACAGTTTCAATGTTAGATGTCATTCCACTGTTGGCCATGAGATAGCAGCACACTGTGTAAATTTGAAAAGAAGAGTGAAAACAGCAAGTAGGTGTTTTTCATGCAATGTCACATTCTCTGTCATCCTGCTTTGTAGGCCTACAGAAAGAAACGGCAGTAGATTCATTTTACAATTTACTGGATGTATCGACGTTTATTCATCTATAAGTTAAGTGTGTTAGTTTGGGGGGAAAAAAACGGGTGCTTTTACAGCAAGCGTCGTATCCACTGCTCTTGCACTCTGCCAATATAGTACATGTTTTAAATGCGTTTGTATTGTTTTAAAAGTTTGTTTGAAGACACAATTGTTGCAACTTGTGCAGTTAATCCCCAAAAAGACAGTAATTGTTGAAGAGTTTTGCATGCAGTCCAAGGACACCGCTGACTTTCATGCCCGTGGTGACGTGAGAGCAAAAGTGTCTGAGTTTTGGGCCCCCCCGTCACAGCTGTCTCTGCAGGACAGGTGCAGCGCTGAGTCACTACCCTGCGACTTATGCAACAAGCTCCGACTCCTGCACTCCATTGCAACAGTAATAAGCACCCCGGTGATCACGCTCGACTTTGGATATTCACCACGCATGCATTAGCATGACAATGAAGTTAAAGGCAGCTGCGGTTCGTCTCCGCGTGGGAGCCGAGGTCTCTCTACGGTGGCCTGTGGTCTCCAGCTATGTTTAACTCAAGTTTGAGCGCAAATAAGTGTTGTGTGATACAAATGGGCCAGACGTTAACGGTGAATGGAGGGAAGATCGAGAAGGGGAGCTGTCCCCTCTCTTAGTGGCACTGGATGCTACACAGCGGAGACGACACATTCCCTGACCTATCCCGGTGCAATTGAGTCCCTGATTGGTCTAGTCAAATAAACCAGACTGATCAAGTTATCGTCCTGTTTGTGTGCGCATCGTACTAGAAAAAAACGTCCCCGTTTCTAGTGCTTGTTTGAGCTCCAGTAAACATATTAGGATGCGGGATCCGGGTGGATATGTCTCCAGTGAGCACGCTTTTGGCTCAAGGTGACATTCCATTACTGTGTGGAGCGTGCGCGCGCTCGCGCACGCACGCACATAACGCTCCACCTCCATCCCAGCACCTTTGTTTTTGCAAAGCACATACCTATAAAAGGTTTACTCGGTGTGTTGAATAATTTCGGTTTTTTTTTCTTCATTGGAACGACACCCTCTTTTGTTGCACGCCGCTCGCGTGCAATACAAAGAGTGCCTGACGGGTTAGCAGGCCATCCCAGACGTGCTACTGTAGAAACACACTGCAAAGGGTTTTAGTTGACGACGGCAACTCTCTTAAGTCCATTTGACTGACAACAGGTTGTTTGGGTGGGCTTTACTGCACGTCGGTGTGGTGCAAATGACGCCTTTAATAAGGAGAAGTCGTGACAGAGCAAATGAGCGGCTGTAGTAAGCATGTGGTCTCCCACTATGAAGTTGTAGAGGACAATGAGGACCTCACACAACGGGGTCTTACCTGAAATCACTGTAAGGGTGGATAATCCAATTCCCGGCTGATTTGACCCTCTCCTGTTCCCTCTCCACAGCCTTTTGGCTGCCGTACATGCGTAAGGAGAATTTGTTAACTCCCGGCTGCAGCATACTACTGAACTGCCTCTGCATGAAGCTGGCCTGGCTGCCTCGCGCTTCTGCATCCTCGGCGGGGACGATTGGGGGTCCATCCTCCGGCTTCTGGAAAGTGACAGAGTTCCTCGGCTGCGGGGTCTGGCTTGACCCGTGCAGGGACGACGAGGCTTTCCGGCTCGGTGCGTTGGAGAAGGACACCTTGGGATCCTTTTTCTCGGGCATGCCGCTCGCTCCGGGGGTAGCGCCCTCGCCTGCGTGCCCCCCGGCGAGGGACCCACCTGGTGTGATAGAGCCGTCCATGCTGGCGGTGGTCGAATTACAAGCTCCGCGCTTGGCGCTCCCCACGTCCTCGGCCCTCGCCGTCCCGCCGCCGCTCTGCTTCTCCTGCTTGGAGATGATCGAGCGCAGGCTCCCGGTGCCCGAGTCCCTCCTGCATTCTCCGTTTTTGTTGCATTTCATGCTGGAAATTGGAGCGACGCTGCTGCGACCATCACCCGTTGTCGCGTCCGCGGTGTCTATCGCGACGGTCGGTTGCGAGTCCGACGCCTCCGCCCCTGATGCTCTGCTGCTCTGGCCGTGGTGGGCAGCATCGCCCGGATGAGGTCCGCGGGTCTCCGTGGCTCCGGAGGCAGCAGTGGGCCGTGTGAGGATGCGTCCTCTGCGCGAGGAAGGCTGGGCTCCTTGGTGGACTGCCTCCTGGAAGCAGAGGACGCGGCTCCCCCTCCTGGCGAAAAGGTGATTAGCCCAAACTACCGCGTTCTCGTGCTCGTCCGGCGCCTCGACGCAAATGCAGAACCAACCGTGCGTCGAAAATGAAGTGCTGGATATTTCCCTCAATTGGAAATTTGAAGAAACATACACTTGTTGTGGAAATTATACTTGTCCCGAGACAACATGCAACCGCAGCTCTCGAAAAATTGATTCTTATGACTGTATTTCAAATATAAAGTAGCTCGCACCCCGAAAAGGGCTTTATCCCCTCTAGTCTATCCCTATTGATTAAAGATTCGTCTTGGAAAGAAGTAGAACATAGGACTTAATTAGGTCTATCGATCAGCGCAATTAGCTTGATGGTGTGATTTATGCAAAGTCACGTATCTCACTTTTTACCCTCTTTACACCAACTTATCATGCACATAAAAAACCCTTGACTAAAAGTACTACCATAGGGACTGACTTTAAAATACAGAGGGGTAGTGGGTTGACCCGAAGATGCGGCCTCATACTAAGACACTGCAATGATGCAGTTTTAACATTAACAGTAATCCTAAATACAGTGGGGCCAAGAAGCACAATTGGTGTCACTACTTTGTTTTTTTTTTCTCCCCCCCCCAAATTTTGCTGCTGTAGACTGCAAATTTCTTACGGAGCTTACGGAGTAGTAAAAGTGACTGAGTCTGCCAAAACAATTTCCAAAGGACTTTATTGTGACTGTAAAAATACAACATTAAATCAGGAAATAAAACACTACAGTTCATTGAACACTTTCAGCCAGTTTCACAGAGATAGGATTTTTTTTATATGCCCTAGTACTGGTGGCATAGAATTATTAAATAAGATTTGGATTTTTTTTCTTTGTTCACTCAATAAAAATACAGCCTAAATTCATCCAAACACCACCCAAATTGCACCCCCCTCCACACACACACACACACACACACAATTTAGAAACATCAAACTAATGAAATGCCATTAAAAACAGAAGTTAAAAGTCTAGATGATGTCTCATTAAAATATGACGCATTGTGCAAATTAAAAACAAAAATAAATGTGCAAATAAATACAAATAGTCAGAAGCAGACGCGTAAATTGATCCACTGGCTGTAATTGGCTCAGCATTATTCAGATAACTTGATACACCTCTACACATCTGCACCACCACAGGCAACATTTAAAAAGACTATTTTTATTTTGACTTTGAAATAGAAAAATGTGTCCCCAAACCTTGAGGCAGATCCTACTTTTCCTATTGTTTCAGTACCCACGGGATCCTCCAGCGGAAGCTCCAAGGAGAATGTCCTCAATTACTGCACCAGCAGCAGCAGAACGAGCAGCATCCGGCAACCAGTCAGCACAAGTGGAGGAATGATGACTAAGATGAAGTCGCAGACAAATTCATCTCAACTTACTTGTCCGTAAGAATTAAGACTAACAGCTGTGTTTGTGTCCGCTGTAGAAGACTCCTTGAGAGCGCGAGGTTTCCAGAATATGAGGTGAGGGCGACAGGGAGACTCTATGAGTTGCCAGAAGCATTTTCATTGCTAAGTGAGTTGGAGGAGGAAGAAGATGATGAGGAGGGAGAAAAGTTCATCCCTGATAAACCCGGTGGGTTTGTAGCTGTGTTCTGGCCATTAAGACTCTTCCTACACACGGGGCAAGTATCATGCTACAGGGAAAGAGAAGGAAACAAAATGTCATTTCGATCAAAAGTAGACATAAGAGGTTTTGGCCCAACATCAACAATAGTACATTTTTAAAAATATAGTTCATTTTTAGTGTAAATCACAATTCTATACTGCATTTTTACGGTTTGGCAGCGGATAACAGGATGTTGCTTTGTATCCAGATTGTGAAAGTTCACATTAATTAATTATTATTATTATAATTTTTTTTTTTTTATCAGAAAATCAACTTTGATTTACAAGATGCAAGTGTATTGAATAGAACTGAAGTGAATCAAAGTGATTGAGTCGCTTTGATAAAATTGAGAAAAAATATGGCGGTATCTTGGTATTAAAATTACAGCTCTAAAATTACCTTTTTTTAATAAACATTTGGGTAAATAAAAACTGCATTTCCCCACTTTCAAAACAAAACCTTGAACTTCTTCTGGATCAAATGTTCAAGTAATCTTCTGTTTTAATTCTGCTTAGCAAGTCCCATTGTCCATCACTAGTGAGCCTCTTTTGGAACAGACTTGTGGGTTACTAATGTTGTCCCTGGGGCTAACTAGTACCCGTTGGCACTATTTATTCAGTTATTTATTTAGGATGAGAGAAAAAGGCATCTATGTTTTCAGTGTCTCTTTCCTCTTGCTCCCTCCCTCTTCTTCCATGCTTAATTTCTCGACCCCAAAATAACTGAACAAGCAATGCCCGAAAAAATGTAATAACATTTAATAAGGATGATCTTCCAAACTAAAATTAAATAACAGTCAACTCTCAGGTTATAGAGACTATTTTAACATATATGACAAAAAGTGCTGTTGTTTTCTCTTCTCTGCCTTTAATGACCATAATACATGTCATTTGCAGTGAAGAACTCCACTGCATCATACCGAGGAGTTTACAGTATTTTAAGATTATTTCTCTTCCCAGAAATGAGTGTGTGATTGCGCTATTGTAATCTAATGACGTGTCCAGCAAGTATCAGTGCCGTACCTGTTCAAGCCAAGGTACTATACAGTCATTGTGAAACAAATGATTGCACGGCAGCTGTCTGACGCTCTCGTCCACACCGTAGTCTTCTTTGCACACGGGACACTCTAAACCAGCAGCTGCAAAAGTCAACAAGGACGCTTCAACACAAATTATAACTCCATTCCTTATTTTTAGATGTTTTACTACTATCAACTGTTTCATTGGTTTGATCTTAAAACTCACCCACATGTTCTTCTGTGATGGAGACTGTGGGCAAACTCTTTATCCTTTCTCGATCCGCTGGAGGAGGACCCGTGTTTTCAAACTGGTTGAGTAGCTTCAAAGGATGCAGGCCAGATTTTAAAGCTTGTCGTGTTTCATTTGATCTTTTGGACATTTGTGTACAGAGGCTCGTTCCTCGACTTAATCTGTTTACAATACACTGCAACCTTGACTTACAAGTTTACATCCTTAGGTGACCATGCCCATAACTCAAAACCCCCGTGTCTCACATCATCTTTACTCATTGAAGGAAATGGCATTTCTGTTCATCCGTTGCAGCCCGACAAAAAAAAGCAGTTTTTTAAGATGAAAAATAGTCCTCACAGTGCTACATTTTAGAAAAAAAAAACATCACCATTGTAGAGCATTTCCCCAAATAGTACTCGCCCATGTAAACCTGCACCCCAGGTGGTCACTGGCTTCATAAAATGCTTGTGAAAAAAAATCCATAATTCTTTCAGTACAAAGATGCTATCGTTCCTAAACGGATATCCAAGACTTAACTGCTGAGCCCATTTCAACTCTATTGCTAACTCCCTTGTGATCCAAAACCGCAACACCTACCGGTGGAGGGAAACAGTTTCTCAAGTGAATTCAAGGGTGGCGTGTAAGTTCATCATTGTTTGCGAGACATTTCTAACCAGATTTTTATATGAAAGGCGACTGTTATACCTGTGTTATGATGGCATCCAGTCCATTTGCTCCCCAGGCATAGTCCATTGGGTTTGAATGAAGCACACCCCTGCAAAGTTTTTAACCAGTTAAGAGACTTGCACGATGAAAAGATTCATCATAAGTAGTTACTCACCATGGTCCCATTCCAATATTTGGCATAGCCGTTGGTGCTATGATCCCATTAACTAGCTGTTGGATAATTCTGTATTAACGGTAAAAAAAAAAAAATGTAAATGTGAGATTGACATTTGCCTTGTTGTAATAATAACATGTTCACAGAAGTGCTTTGGGTTACCTACAATCGACTGCAATTGTCACGCACAACAGACTTGAATGAATATTTACCCTTCTAATGTGGGAACTCCTTCATGGCGCGTACGCTGTCGTTGAGCCGCATGTCGACCCTGCGGTTGCTGCGAATCGTTTTCTTGTTCTCGCGGGATTTCTGACTCTCTGTTATCTTCTGTGGGTAGCCAAGTTCTGAGTTCAAAGTTTTCATTGAAAATTCCCAGAGTGAATGGACTGTACCCGGAAGGAAAGGTGAACAAGTGCTGGTGATTCGTGGTTGTCTAGAAAAGACATAATGGGGGATGAATTCGATGATGCCAAAAGACTGCAAAATTCTTTAAACAATGCCTTTAACTGACCTGAAAGGGCGTTTGTGTCTGTTCACTTGCGGAGGATGTAGATGGAGAGCTATCTTCAGTTCTATATGAAAAAAAAAACAGTCAAATATATGCAATATTTCGACTGCATTTCATCATTTTTCCGAATACCTTCTTTCATCTGGCAATTCCTCAATGAATCCAGAGTCACAGCGTGGACAGGTAAAGTCCTTCGGGTATTGACACAAAAATGAATCTCACATTAGAACATTCCACTCGGAAGAACAACCTAGGCTCTGAATATCCCAGAAAATATTCATAATGAGCAGCACAAAATGTTTATTGTTACTTTTTGAGGACGGAATTGAAGGTTTGTATAATTGCAACCTGGTGGTAACTCTTAATTAATGCGCAGGGGATATATGATAGTGTCATACATATACACACATGATGCTGTGAAACGCCCTTTTGTTTTGTTTCTACTCAGACACACAAAATTACTTGAGTTGAACTACAGTAGAGTGATTGAATAAAACTGACTTGAATAAGTAAATCTGACTCTGGATAACATCATCACAGTTACGAGGTAGCAGAACATGTGTATTCAATCTGTACTACTAATTAAAGAAATTCTACTCCAGCATATAGTGTTTATGTTCACTGAGGGAAAAAAAACGGAAAATCAAGCAAGCAACGTAGAGTAATACGCTTTTTTTTTCCTTCTGGGCGTTGGAATGCATAGCAGACAGTTGAGTACAGCCCGCCACAATTCTGTAGAGCCACAAATGTATTTCTATGAAGACAATGTTTTGTGTGTTCACTATACGATTTTAATGGGAATACATTCGCCAAGTTGAACAACTACAACGAGCACTTGCTAGCCAACGAGCGTGGCTAGCGACGAAACTCGCTGTTACCCCCTCCCACATAAACGCACCTGACTTAGACACATCACTATCAAGCCATTCGTCAAATCGGCATATCAAGTGCTGCTTGGTTTGCCTTACCGGTAAACGCGGGCTTATCTCTGCTGAACATCGGTGGCAGAAAAACCGGCAAGGCCGATGGGAAGCTTCTGCCATTTCTTCACTGAACATTGGTAGGTTTTTAATAAACGATCGCGAGAACCGGCCGATTAGGTAAACTGACTGACGACATTTCGCAATGCACTATGGGATGCCTATCAAAACAAGACGAAGTTGATACACATGACTGTTTTCATCCTTATGTTTCCCTTTTTTCTAGCTTTCTTTTGGTCTTGCTATGTGCAATACAAATAATGACGATTAGGTGAATACTATATTATTCTTGTATGGATATATCTTCTACATTCATGTTAAATCTTGAAACCTATATTTATCTTTTTAACAATAAATATGTTTCTTTCTGAGAAGCCCTATGATTTATGACGAATGGAAATGTTTTTAATCTTATTTATTTTTAAGGAATATAAGGAATGTGAAAAGCGCTCATTCTTTTTCTGTTATTTATTTTTGTTTATTTTGGATTTTATCATTGATTTTTCTAGTGTATGTTGTTCAATTAAAGAAAAAAAAACACATGAAGACACTTGGTAAAAATCATTGAAGCACTGTGTAATAATACTTTTATTACGAAGAAAAAAAATCACATACCGGAAGTAGTATTCGTGTTTACACTCCCAAAATAGCGAGTGAAGTAATCTTCGTAGCATCGGTATAAGATTTGTGCATTGTGTGTTCACATCGTTTGTAAACGTATATTGCATTCCTGATACGAACATGGAGTCTAGTGATACAGGTACATTCATAGTATTTCGGTGAAATGTTCCATGTTTGACTGTAGTAGTAATAGTTCATGTTAGCATTCGGCGTCAGTTAGCGTCATATAGCCGAAAACGACCATAGTATTTATCATCGTAACTAGCATGCGACGAGTAGTAACGGGCTAGTTCGTATTTTACAAGTTGACCCACGAGATTTAGATGAACGATATGGACGTTGCAATTTGCTTTCGAATCCGCAACGAAGTCGATACTTACGTTTCCCAAAATAGCTCAATTTGTGTCTGACGCGCATTTGTAAATGTAGTAAAATACACAGCTGCAGAGGATTACCTTCGTTTGGATTTGAAATATATATATTTTGTCGCACCAGTTCTGGAACTTTTCTGACACACTTTCTACCTTAAGCTTGGTACACTGCAATATAGCCTCTCAGAAACTGAGCAGTCATACTGTACCTTACTGTCCATCCCACTGTTTGTTTAATGTTATTAATTTTATTCATCTTCAGTAATGGTAATGTCTTGAAGTACCTTACAAAAACAAAGTATGTTGGAATGTCTGTAAAAGATTCATAATCTTGTTTTTTTTCGCCTTCCTTTAGGGAGAGGAGGATGGAAAAACAAGAATACACAGCCACAGAAACAGAAGATGAACTTGAACATTATACGCCAAGAGCAATTGATAGCTGAGAAAAAGAAGGAAATTGAGGCCAAATTGGCCGAGCAAGCCAAAATTAATGCACAAACCCCCAACGAATGTCTGCCTGCAAGGTAAATGCATACTTTCACCACCAGTGTTATGTTTTTCAATTCCATTGTCAGGTGGTACATGTACATTTTGTTGTATTGACTCTAAGATAAATTAATAATTTCACCTCTTGTGATCCAAATAGTTCTCCTACTATGCAAGGACCCACCTCCAACAAGTTTGTAAATGATGGAAGCTTCTTACAACAGTTCATGATGATGCAGAAGCAGAAACCGAACAGTGTGTCTGGTTAGTACAAGCTGTTCAACATTCCCATATAGTTTGTATTTTAAGTGGACACATTTAGGATATATATATATATATATATATATATATACACACACACAGTATATATACAATATATATTTGTTGTATTATATATATATTTGTTGTTTAATGCACTATATATTTTTTATGATTAGTCCATAGGATCATTAGTAGGATAATCTATTTTAAAAATATCTGATAGCTGCAGCCCTCATGTGCAGCCAAAAATCTGTTGCTGTAGCTTTTCAAGTTATTAATTTACTTTTTTTTTAATTTATGTTTTCTCTAGGTTCCCCCATTGACAACAAAAGTCAGTCATCTTCCCCGGGTGGAAACGCATTCCAAAGAAAAAACATCTTCGCTGGCAAGCGCCCTGGCGTTGGCAGCATGCTTAGCCAGTTTAGGAGCTATTCGCAGTCCAAGAAGAGTCCAGTTCTCAGCCAGAGGCCAAGTGTGTTTTGCTCCCCAGATGACGATGATGAGGAGGAAGAGATTGATGTCTCCGAATTCTTAAATATGAAAGGTAAATCAAGACCTGTGTGTTTTCGTTCAACTATGGACAACAAAATGGCTTGTACATTTCGGTCATCCCCTACCTGCTCCAAGGGCAGGATTAAGACTGCCATTTTGTCACAGGTGACCAAAGAGTAAATGTACTGATAGCCTGCTTAAAGTTTCTCCCCCAGAGGACCCAGACACCAGACTGATTATCAACAAGTTGGCCTCTTTTGTGGCGGAGGGGGGACCTGAGCTGGAGAGGAGGGCCAAAGAAGATTACAAGGACGATCCTGTTTTCTCGTAAGTTTAAAGGAGACTTTTACCCCCCCGATGTTTGTTGAACTCATGAAATAGTTGAATCTCCTGTGCTTTAACCTTTCTATTTTTATTTTATTTTTTTAGATTTTTGTATGATAGAAACTGTATGGAATATCTCTACTACAAAAAGAGGGTTGCTGAATTAAGAAAGAATGCTCCAACGCCTTCCAAAACGTCAGATAATGGTAAGGTGATGTCTCATGGCACCCCTGATTTCTTCATTTTAGAAACTGAAATTTGCACTCAGAAGGGCTACATCGTATTGCATTATCAGTCATTAGATTGATAAGTTATCATAATTCAGTTTAACAAATAAGTCTTGTCCTGCTATATTATCATTACTATCATATACCAATGCCCTTTATTACACCTGGTATTTTTTTTTAACCACTGGTACCTTGACTTACGTGTGTGTGTTTCTCTTTTTTTTTTTTATATGAGCCATCACGCGTCATAATTTTTTTTGTCTTGTGTTGAGATGTGTGGTTTTTTTTTTTTTTCTCCAAGCAGAACGAGCGATCTCAGAACGAATTCAACTCCTAAGTCAAGGCACCATTGTGGATAGAAATAGAGTTCTTGCGTGATTTGTGTCTTATTTCATATTTAGTGCTGCACTTGTACATTGCAAGTAGTTGTACATCTGTCATGCCTTGTTTCCCATATTGCACAAAAAAATACATCACTTAATATTTTTTTTCGAGAAAAAACAAAATAATGGAATGCACAGATGTCATGAACACAATGACAGTAAATGCCGATATAAATCGCGCCAAGTGTTGTATCGATACAAATTATGTGTTGACATTGTTTCATCAAGTGTTTCATCAACTGAATTCAGCAATCACCAGTGCTGTCCTCGTTGCTCCTCCTCCCTCTTTTTTTTTTTTTTTTATCCCCCCATTAGCTCTATACTGGTGATGTATGCCAGTTGAGTATGGTACAGTAGTAGAGTGTCATTTGAGCCCCAGTACTGATAGACTGCTTAAAGTCTCCCCCCCAGTGGACGCGGAAACCCAGCAAGTGGCCGAGAAGCTGGCCAGGTTTGTGGCTGAGGGTGGCCCAGAGGTGGAAAACATCGCCATCGAGCGTAACCGTGATAACCCCACCTTCAGGTCAGCTTCTTTCAAATCAATTTCGACATGAGCTCAATAACGGCTTATTTCACTTTAACCTCGCACGCCTTTTTTATCCCTCCAGTTTTTTATTTGATCTCAAAAACCCGGCCAACCGTTACTACAAAGAGAAGCTCCGAGAGTATCGTGCTGCAGCTTCCCAGAATTCTTCACCTCCAGCAGCAGAGTCCAGGGCAGAGCCGCAGAGACCAGCTGCTCCTCCCCGACCCCAGATTGCGTTCTCTCCGGCATCTCAGCCGCACACTCAGGTGGAAGATACGCCGCCTGTAAAACGCAAGAGGAAGAGTCGATGGGGGTCCGAAGATGACAAAGTGGAGCTTCCCATTCCACCCATCGTTGTCTCCCAGGAAACCGGTGTTCCAGACCCCAACATGCCATCTCTCTCTGGTACTTGACATGCATGCTCAGTACATAGTAGGAACGCTTCATCTATGTAGTTGTTTTGTTTTGAAGTACGACTCTTCCAAAAAGTTTTCCCCCCATGATATCACGTTTTATCATTCACACCCCGCTGTGTCACGTTCTTTTCAACAAAATATGTCTGTGAATTTTTACCTTGACTTAGGCAAAGGAAAGTAAAACACAAAGATGAAGACACCGAGAGCTGCTTCCGGCCACAGCTCACACACAGACACTCATGCAAATTTGCCAAAATCACATGCCACCGTACTTAGCCCCGCCTCTTAAAGGCACACACACATACCAAACACATCGACTTGATGTTTGTTTTTTTTTTACTTGCAATTATTGTGTGTGTGGTTTTAAATACTTTAAAATTGTGGTTTAAGAAGTTTCTTGTCAGAAATTTAAGTGTTAAACCCATTTTGGGAGAGGTCAAACTGTTATGTAGAACAAAAAAAAACTCTTGAATGTATTTTCAGCTCTTGTGTGCTGGGTCTGGGTTGGAGCATACACCCCACGATAATTGTGGGCTCACTGTATTAAATATTGTGGTGCCGTCCCCTCTGTTTTAGCTCAAGATCTTCAAGGTCTTGGTTATAAGAAAGGGAAGCCCGCTGGTCTCGTCGGTGTCACAGAACTGTCGGAAGACCAGAAGAGGCAGCTAAAAGAGCAACAAGAGGTACATTGTTGATTGGATGCACTATGTGGAGGAAAAAAAAGCAGCTTCGCTCAAGTCCAGTAGGAAAAAGAAACAATGTCACTCCGGCTTTGTGCTTAATAGAGCACTTACACCATGACTAGACCAACTGTCCATTGGATGTGAGTTGTTCTTTCAATGTCCTCCCACACATAACACTTTGTAGATGCAAGAGATGTATGACATGATCATGAAACACAAGCGCGCAATGGCCGAGATGCAGCTGATGTGGGACAAGGCCATAAAAGACCACCAACACGAGTACGACAGTGACGAAGAGGTGGACCAGGAGGCCGGCACCTGGGAGCATCGTCTCCGGAAAATGGAAATGGAGAAGACACGAGGTAAGGCTGGCAATAGTATTTCAGCAACCAGCTTCTAATTTGCATGACAGTGTCAATCACGCCGTTCCTGTGTTGTGCTGATTTCCTCAGAGTGGGCAGAATCTCTGACAGACATGGGCAAAGGGAAACACTTCATTGGAGACTTCCTCCCTCCTGAGGAGCTGGAGAAGTTTATGGAAACTTTTAAAGCACTCAAGGTCAGCTGAAGAGCGAACAAGCTATTAAAATCATTGTAGCAAGAGTTTTTTTTTTTTGTTTTTTTGTTTTTGTGAAATCCAATTGTTGTCTTTCATCTCTTCTCATTTGCCCGTTTTGTACTTTCGTGAGAAAAAAAAAAATAACAGCAACAATGGCATGAATGCACCGCTTTAACTTCTTTGCAGGAGGGGCGGGACCCAGATTACTCTGAATACAAAGAGTTTAAATTGACAGTCGAGAACCTGGGTTTCCGCATGCTGATGAAGATGGGCTGGAAGGAAGGTGAAGGCCTTGGCAGTGAAGGACAAGGCATCAAGGCTCCTGTCAACAAGTGCGTGTTCATCTTTTCAATTGTTTCCTTTTGTCTCTGGATTTATTTACATCATGCAATAGAAAACAAAATATTGATGATGTCACAACCCATTTCATTATATCCCACTGGGTAGATACAGTGGATCCATTTTGGGCATGTGTGCGCACAATAATTTTGTTTGATCACAATTAAATGTGTTTGTATCAATAGTTACAAAAAAAAAAAAAAAAAAACTTTTTTTTTTCAATATTGTATACACACATTTTAATCTCAGATTCAATGGCATTTAAACAACTGCATATTTGCATTTGATCTTGCATGACCGTATAAACCAGTTGTTTACTAGGACAACTTTTATGCAACAGTGAAAAAAATATGAAATCAAAATTCTTGGTTGAGTAATGTGATCATATACATTTCAATCGCCCCCCCTACCCTCCAAGTTGTGATCGCTCATTTTTTTCTTTTTCTTTTTATGTGAAAGAAAAGAACCACCACCTTTAAGATCGTGTGGCTCTCCCAACAGTTTTTTTCTTTGTGGATTTAAATATAAAGGGCCACTAAAAACAACTATCGTTTTTATTACAGTAGACAAATAAAACATCACTGCTACGTTGTGAAGCTTGACCTTTTTGCAAAATCCTTTTTCCTGGTGCTTATTTGTAAAGCCACATTTTTTGACATTCATACATTATTTCATACTTTCTTGGATGTCAGAAATGGACTCAAAAGGCTTTTGTGTCTGGTTGCAGGGGAACGACAGCGATGAATGGAGCAGGGTTTGGTGTTGACCGTCCAGCCGACCTCGCAAAAAGCGATGATGAGTATGATGCCTTCAGAAAGAGGATGATGCTTGCCTACCGATTTAGGCCTAATCCATTGGTAACCTCATGTCCCCTGCTCTTTTCTATTTTGCATGGAACAGCACAAATATGTAACAAGTACCGTAGGTAGTCACGCTCATTGAATTTAATCCAATGTTTGGTTTTCACAGAATAATCCACGGAGACCATACTACTGACTGGAAACAGCTGCATACGCAAATGGAAGAAAGATGAAAACTCAACTCGCTTGTAAAATGTGACATCATTGCACAATGGAAATATCTGACAGTGCGTGTGTGCGTGAACAGAATAACAAGGGTGACTACCTGCTAGATTCCCCCTAAATGTTAGGTTTTGTTCAGGTTTGAATATTCCGACTGCATCTGTCTCACAATCAATTACTGTTCTGTGTTTCACCGGAAATAATTAAAGATGCCCTGTACACTTACATTTGTCCCACATTATTTCTGTCTTCAGCATGGCTACAGTTTCAACGCCCTCTCTTTCACCCCCTTATTCTTGTCTGTTTTATTTTAACATTTTCCAGTATTAATACAATTATATTACTGCATTCTGGAGTTGTCTGAGATTTGTGTCTTATAAACTGTTTGGAGGGTTTACCCATGCATGTTAATTATTAGGAGCAATAGGAATTTCCCCCGGCTCTGAACATGAGGGATTGCTGTTTGGAGGAGCCTAGTCGTGAGGAGGGTGACAGATAAGTGAAATTAGACCTTCACATTGCTATTCCCCAATGGGGCTTACTCGAGTTAATTATAGCTCTGAGACCCCAGCCAAGCAAAAGTCACTCAAGAATTGGCCAAGGGATCAGTAAGTAGCGACTTAACAACACTGTAAACATAACACATGCTTTTCTTGTTGGTGGGGAAACATTCGTAAGCGGTGGCCCTGTAAGGTGAATCACGTTTTTAAGTGATGAATGAAACCGGCTCGTATTTTGCAAATGACAGCGTGCCAACATGGAAGAGGCGCATTGCCTTTATGTTTTCGGGGGCAAAAAACGCTTATGTTGATATGTGAAAATATTGTGTTGTCTGTGAGTTTGCTTGTCGCTCTTGGACTTTGCATCTTTGCAAACTTTGATTTGACGCAGTAACGCGCTGACTGTCGGCGCGAGTTGACTCGAGTTTGGGGGGAGGTAAACAAGATGGCGACAACCTGACGGGCAGAGTAATACGAAGAGTCCGAAAAATATGAAATGATATGCAACTTGGCTGGAGTTACGCTTTTGTTCGTCTGAGGACCGACATATGACAAACGAATAAAGCCTGCGACCGAGCAAAGATACATGCGGATTTTAGGTGAGTTTTCCACACCGGAGGAGTTGGCAATGAACTAGCTAGCTAGCAGTTTACATTGGGACTTGGACGCAACCCCGGTTAGCTTGCGTTAGCGGGATTTATCTGCACGATTCTGTGGTCGTCAGGGCATGTTCTAGTTTAGGATTAAGATACACACGCGGACAGTTAGATTTGACTTGTTCCAACATCACCGGTAAATGGGAAGCGCTTGGCTTGACGTTTGGAGTGTCAATGATGCCTAGCTAGAGCCGCATCTCGCCGCTAGCTTGTGTGACGACGTTTCGCGCATCCAAAGTCACGTTCGCTTATTTTGCACTTCACATGAATTATTTGTTTGTAAAGTTCGTGGACCAAGCTACATGTTTTGTTCAAGGTATCCTCTGAAAGTGCAATACAGCCAGCTAGTACATTCAAGCAGATAGGATACGTTAGCATTCTGGCTAGCAATTAGTTGAGCGTAATACATTGACATTGCTACATCATTTAAATTTTGCATTAAACGTTGTCACTGAAGTATATAATTATTAATACTACCATTATTATGCAGCAAGTGATCCCCCCCCGGGACCCCATAATGGTCCACCCGATATTTTGATTGGCTCCCAAATGGGAAAACTTAGTTCAGACCTGTGCAGTTTCACTAATGTTTAAATGACCCTTGTTTTCTAGGCAGCCGAAATCTCGGTGGAATGGAGGACACCTGAAGTCAGGAGGAACACACTTTCAGTAGGGTTGGTCTTTCTACAGATGTGCAGCTGACACTGCTGCATGAAATTAGCAGTGGAAGTGTGTTTGGATGCAGTCCACGTTTACGTGGCCCAAGGCAGACGATAACAGGCAGCATGGATCCTTGACAGAAATGTGCCACATGGCCTTAAACCAGGGCTGGTCGTCCCTACGTAAGGCTGAATCAAATTAAATCAAATAGAGCTGAGGGTACAAAACAAAACAAAACAAAAAATATTTTTGTTGAAGTGCATTTGTCTCAAACAAAAGGCACACAATGAAACACTAATAAGACAGCGGACCGAATACATTTTCACGTCAGTGTGCAGCTTTCAATTAAAAATAACAGTAATGTTTACAAATCTGGACTGATCCCCACCGCAGCCAGAGTTCTCTCTCTCTCCCTCCCGCCCACATTCAGTATTTATCTTTATTACCTCTCATTTTCGGGCCAAGAGGTTAACAGTGGATTACTCTCCGCCACCAGGAAGATTTGTTCCCAAGTAGTTTGCACACGACGCTCAGTCTGTGGATCAGTCATGAGTACCGGGGAGATACATCACCTCAACTACCTGAATGAAAATGAACTGATGGAGATGGACACGTTCATTCACCGCATCGACTCTACCGAGGTGATTTATCAGCCACGGAGAAAGAGGGCGAAGTTGATAGGAAAGTACTTGATGGGGGATCTGCTGGGGGAGGGATCGTATGGCAAAGTGAAAGAGATGCTGGACTCTGAAACCCTCTGCCGCAGGGCTGTCAAGATACTGAAAAAGAAGAAGCTAAGGAGGATTCCTAATGGAGAAGCCAATGTGAAAAAGTGAGTGTCCTACCATCTTGTTTTTGTACTTAAATAACAAATGCAAAAGAATGCTGTGTAGGGCTGAAACAATAAATTGAAAAAAATAGATAATTTCCACTTATAGCACTTCGTGTAGAAATAAGTTGCTGAGCCGGGAGGAAAGTTGATCAGTTTGTACGTATTTGAAAAGCACATTAGAAACATATTGATAAAATGTAGGCTAAATGCTAAAATCATTGTTTTTCCATAATGCCACGGGGATTATTAATCACTTGTCTTCCCTCCCCTCATTCTGTCCCCTTCCTGTCCTCTTGCCCCCTGATTCAGCATTTCTGGATTTTCATATTTTCTTTTCCGAATACCAGAAGATTTAATCACACCATACATCATTAAATATTACTGCAGCAGCCTGCGCTAATTATAGAGGAAGCATGAGGGAGCAGTTGCACGGGTTCACAAAGGCAAGAAAGTCTTGACGATAGCGTGTTTATAGAGCGTGAGCGGTGCGTCCGTTCGCGTTGGCGGACGCCATGAGGAGGATCCTGGAGCCTGCCGAGGCTTGTGTATGTTTGTGAGGATGGTGTCATGTCCGCCATTGGTCTCAGTGCTGTTGACTTTGCAATGCCATTTCCGTGACAACAGTCAAGGCGAGACACGCCTTTGTTTGGGAATAACAGCCCCATACATGGTTGTTTTGTTTTTTTTTTTTTGTTTTTTTTAAAGCGGGGAGGGAGTGTTCTTTCAGGTAGTGAGTGCAATGCATTACTACAACAACTAATAACGCCCGTCATCCTGACTGTTCTACTTTTTATGTTATGCCCCAAACGTGTGTAAATGCCAAAAAGCAAGTTTAATTGTTTTTTTTTGTATAATTGCTAATGCACATATTTTGTTTGCCCGTCTGTGATGTCATGTCAGTTCCTGCTAGCCTGTTATTGGGGTCAGCGGGAAGGAAATGGTGTGGCAAGGGTTTATCTAATTGGTATTGGGTAAATTTGCTGTCATGCAACAGATGTGACTACTTAGTTGATTGCATTCCCTTTTTACTCGTGCACTCGGGTGCCGGCTTTGAGTATTGATTCGGGTGAGACAAAGAGAAGGACTAAAGCCAGCAGTTTGTCAACTCATCAAAGGCCACGTGGCCGGGCAGCTGCTGCCCGCACCGTTTGTGAGGACTTTTTGTTTTGCCATTTGTTGCTGACGCCTCGCCTTTTTCATTGTGCGGCACATCATTAAATAAAAAAAGGATTGTTTCTCTAGTACGCCAAGGCGAACTTGCGGAGGTCGTGTGAATGCTCCCAATGATGATGTGAAGGTGGTTTAGGATGAATAATTTAACTGTCCCAATACCTTTATTTATTTATTTATTTTTATTATCATTATTATTATTTTTTTGTATATGTCATTGCTATGCTAGATGCATGTTGTTTGTGATTTATGATCCTGTCCTTTTTAAGTGCTTTACCATCATCTTGTGGCGTCTATGTGCTATTACAAATCCCTGTTCGAGGGGTATAAATTATTCCCAGGTTTTTCACCATTTACAGCAAAGCTTGTCCTCATTGCTCAGTGATGAATGTTGAACTTCCCTGGGATTTTGTTTGGCGCGGTGGTTTTACGAACGACTGTGGAAAATGGCAAAATGTTCATCTAAAACTCCTCTGATTAGTCATTTTCATGTTTGTTCCTTCCTCACAGGGAAATTCAGCTGCTAAGAAAACTCCAACACAAGAATGTGATTCAGTTGGTGGATGTTCTCTACAATGAGGAGAAGCAGAAAATATATCCTTCAGTGGTTTTAGTTGCTCGTTTCTTGTCATCGTTTCACTTGAATTTTTTAATGGTGATTGAAAAGAACCATCAGTGGTCCTTTGCTGTTCATTGGGGTCCACGTGCATGAGTATCGTCATGTAAGACAAGAGGACTTTTACATAACTAAAGACACGTTTGTACGCCATGCAACCTACATTCACGATAAACGTATTTTGGATTCACTAACTCTGACAATACGTTAACATTATCTCTGTCAAGACATGCATTTTGCCAAATTATTGTGTGACCGCAGAGTGCATCTCTTTATACGTTTTCATTGCCCTTGACTTATGACTTACGTATATGGTGATGGAATATTGTGTGTGCGGGATGCAAGAAATGCTGGACAGCGTTCCGGAAAAAAGGTTTCCTATATTTCAAGCTCACGGGTATGTCTTTGTCGTCTCCCCCTCGCTCTTCTCACCCCCTCTATTTCCATATTTGTTCTATTTTTAGACTTATCCTCTTTGCACCAATGGCTCCGGGTCTAAATTTAGATCTTGAACTGCTGTGCGTATACTTTTCAAAGAACGGAACGGGTAATTGCATGAATGTGTAACTTGTCTCAAAATGCGAGAGTCCCTGCGCTGAACCTTTAATCTGTCTACACCACGTGTCAAAGTCGAGTCCCATAGGGCAGATCTGGCTCGCAGCATCATTTTATGCCATCCACGAAGGCAAATCATATTGACTCCATGTTTCTTGCAAATTGTCTATACTTTTCATGACACTGAGAGATTGCCATTTTTTTATTTTTTTGGCATGCATGGTGGGGGTGGGGTCTATGTTGTTCGATTGCTGGTTAGCACACTTTCTCACGCACTTTTTACATTTTGTGCAGGTACTTTTGCCAACTCTTAGATGGCCTTGAATATTTGCACAGCCAGGGAATTGTTCACAAGGACATTAAACCAGGCAATCTGCTATTGACCACAGATGGGGCACTTAAAATTTCTGATCTGGGGGTAGCTGAGGTAAGCTTACGCACTCATTAAATTCTTCTTCTTTTTTTTCTTCTTTTTTTAAATAAGTAGAAGAAAATGGATGCCCATGGACTATATGTTGAAGTTTACTGTGCTTCATCCAGGCCCTGCATCCATTTGCAGAGGACGACACGTGTCGCACCAGTCAGGGCTCTCCGGCCTTTCAGCCGCCGGAGATTGCCAACGGCCTGGACACCTTTTCAGGGTTTAAAGTGGACATTTGGTCGGCGGGAGTAACACTGTGAGTCGTCACAGCGTTTGACCTTATTTGCACAGTCTCCACAATTAGCCCAGTTATATTTATGTAATATCCACAATTTGCTTTGGCCGCAACTGACACACAGGCGCTCAACAGTCAACACACAGACTGTCTTGCAATTAGCTCGTGAACAACCGGCCGCTGTTCCTTCGCTGACTCCCACATCACTTAGCAGGCCAGGACCTGTCGTTTAAAGCGACATTCACTCAAAGTCACTGATACAGTCATGTGAGGATGATGCCTCCAAGTGGACAACAATACCTGTACCTCACACTCTTTTGTTGATCATTGTTCAATATTTTTTTGTTATTCAGGTTGATCAATTGGATAAGTAGAATAATCCATTCTAAATATATTAGATTAGACAAGCGGTACCATCGTTGTAAAATGATATTCAAAACCATAGCAGTAATTCCCTTCTTTCCCACCCCCCATTCAGATACAACATTACTACAAGTCTTTATCCGTTTGAGGGGGACAACATCTATAAGCTATTTGAGAACATTGGGAAAGGAGAATTTACTATTCCTGAAGATTGCGGACCTCTCCTCTCAGACCTGCTGCGAGGTGAGTGTTGAATATGTGGAATGTATCTTGGTGGGGCAGATCTTGCCCGCCACACCCATTTTTACGTGGCCTGCGAAAGCAAATCAAACATGTCAACTTCAAGGGAAGTTGTCATGACAATGTGGCCGGTGACAAAAATTAGTTTGACATCCTTGCCTTAAGTGATAACGTTAAAGAAAACTGACGTTTGAGGTCTGATGCAAATAAGTGGCTCTCAAGTGGGGGCAGGAGGGAAAACAGTTGGGCAAGATTTTCAGATTTTGTCTCCGTTGATTTTACGTGTGGGCAATTCCCCGGTGTAATCCCATTTAAGCACGTGTGTACAGGTGGTAGTAAATATTGTTTATTATGCTGTCTTGGTGACAAAAGTAATTGCAGAGTTTTGCTTAGACTGTAAGTTTGCAGAATGCACAGGAGGAGGAGAACAAAGGCACGCTGCAGTGAGGCTGCACTGGTGTCCTTTATCAGTGTGTCCACCTGGTGGCGCTGTGACATTTGAAGTCATTGGGTCTCCCTCAACCCAAACGCACACACATGGTAGAAATCCCTTCAGCTGCTGACGTTGTTTCTATTGATCTGGAGCCAACAGCAGAATACTAAACACTCCAACAGGGTGCTGCAACGCCCCTTGTTAAAACAAAAGAAGTCAAGAGTCTTTCATGGTAAAACTCGGTCTTACTGTATGTCAAGGCAAACTGCCTGTGAAATCCTGGAGAATAAAAAAAAAATGCTGGCGAGACTGAGGTAGAGATCAAGACGTGAAGCTGAATCAGAGTGCTTTCGTTTAAAAGTGCGCTCTGTCTGCAGCTTTTCCTTTTATGGCCATGCCCCCCCCCCTCCCCCATTCATGAATGTCTCCATGTGGGGGAGGTGAATTCTGCAATTGAAAGAAATAGTGTTGGCTTGTTTGATCAATGGCTGTTGAATTTATAGCTCCACACTGAATAGAAAGGGGGTGGGGGGGTCTGCAACTGTCACGGCATCATGAGTCTTCTGGTCGCCACCCCTCATAGTGTGTGACGTCTGTGTCTGATGGTGCATCATATCGGAGATAGCCGGCCTGTAAAATTGTCTAAAATAATCCCAACGCTATGATCAGCGCTACTGGGAGATTGTTGTATTATTAGGTCTGTGTCTGCAACACATCACTCTGTCTCATCATGCTGACATTTTGCTTTTCCCACATTCAGCCCACACAAGGGCCAAAAATGTATTTTGTCGTTCATAGCGGATTAGTTTGCCTCGACAAAATCCCAGATGAATTGTTTCACTGTTCACTTCACACATCTCTTCATTTCCTGCACTCGGTGACCAACACCCGCAGCGGCTCCTCTTGTTTTATGTTGAGAGGGAAGAAATTTCATCTGTGCTGTATGTTCAGCACATTTGACACTAAAGTTGTATTCAATTCAAACTTGGACCGAATATATTCCACTTTCGACAATGATTAGAAACAGGGGTTCTTTGGTTTACACCAGTCCTTAAAGTGGCAACGTCACCCAAATTTGAATGGAAGTTTATTCAACTCATAGCCCTTAGCATTCAAGGAGTCGTTTTCGGTTTCAGAATCATTGCACAGTACATCGCTGCAATAAATGAGGGTTCAGTGTATACGTGGATCAGGGTAAACCGAGGAAGCCCCCGTACCTCATAGCATTTAGTGAACAGCAAGCCGTGTACATTGCTGTACGCTCACGCACAATGGGGTGACTTGAGCATTTTTTTCTGAGGTTGTGATTCAAGTGCTCCCTTTTTTTTCAGGAATGCTCGAGTATGACCCTGCAAAGAGGTTTTCCATACAAAACATAAGACAACACAAGTAAGCGGTTTCTGATTTGTCATTTTCCATGAAAGCCAATGGTTGCAAATCCTAGCTGAAGGCATTCACTAAATGGTTACCGAAGTGCAGTATGTCATTGACACGCCACCTCTACACTGCTTCGATGTGTTCTTGCTAGCTGGGTGCGTAAGAAACACCCACCAACGGAGCTCCCCGTACCCATCCCCGCCAGTGCGGAGAGCAGGGACCCTTGGCGCAGTATGACAGTGGTGCCCTACTTGGAGGATCTCCATGGCTACAATGAAGATGATGACGACGAGCTTTACGATGGAGAGGACGAGATCATCTACACTCAGGATTTCACGGTGCCAGGTTTGTGTGCTCTTGAGGGACTTTTTCAGCCAAGGTTTCAACACGATATTCAAGCTCTATGTTCTCTAGTTGTCCGATAATGGCACTCTGACGACTAGACTTTATAAAAACATCCAGAAATAATGTAATCAAACAGACAGCATACATCATAATGTGTACGTGCGGGCGCGCGCCTTGGCCACCAGAGGGCAGTATAACGCATGCACACTGCACACGAGGAAAAAAGCAAAGTCTTAACACGCAGCGGCTCGTATTTCAAAGCTTGCATGGGACAAACAAGCTACCAAAAAGGCGCAACCGTCAACCACCGATGCGCTCCTTTGACAAATGTCACTGCCAAAATGTTAAAAACAGTCCCACAATAGGTTCACACGGAGAACAGCAAACGCCGCAAGAGGAAGAAAAAAAAAAGACAAAAACAACAATGCTGATCGGTGCTCCAATCTGATCGGTGGCAACCTGCCATCAAAAGTGGCACATACTCACTGTGCTTTATCAATGACGAAATTGACCACGTCCCAGAGTTGGTTTTTTTTCTCTCTATAAAGAATTCACAACCTATATCAGTTGCTAGGCAACAGCATGAAATGATGAATGCAGTCTGTGCTGGCCGGGCATCTAGAAGTGGTGCCCCACTTAGGTCCAATTGGAGCTGCAGAGTGTGAATGAAGTGTCCTATAAATAGTACAGTGGAGATGGTTCTGGTGTTGGGAGTATGAATGGTTTTTCAGGATTCACTCTCACGTGTGCAGAGCAATGCTGCACCTCTAGCAAATGCTCTTTAAATGCGTATAACGTTTCTCTTGAGCAGTTGATGCATCCGGGCGTGTAATATGAACATGGCATCATCCTTGTCTCCGGTGTTTATTAATTATGCCTTCTTTTGGCCCTTTGTAAAAATCCGTTGTCCGTCCTGATTCCGCGATGCTGATTTGTTCGCTTTTCAATGAAATTTTGAAATAGGCTTTACGTTCAACCATGCAATATAGTTAAAAAAGCTTTAGTCTATCAGTAAACTACTCTAGCACAAAAGTAGTTATTATGAGAATAATTATTTGTATGAAAAACACTTCTGGGACATCAATGGAAACCAGTCAGCTCAGAGCAATGTCTGATTTCTGGTCAAAAGTCAGAATTTTTTTCCCCTCCATCTGCCAACTTTTAGGTCAAGTGGCCGAAGACGATCACGACCCGGGGCACGCGGACTACAGCCCACCTATGGCCAAACCTGTTTGCGTGAACGGCACAGAAGTGGGGTCTCTGAACAGCAAGGCCAAAACCGAACGACGGTCTTCATCCTCGTCCAACCCCTCGCGCAAAGGGATGTCCACGGCGAGCAAAATCCGCAAGCTCTCCACCTGCAAGCAGCAATGACGCCCCCCCCCCCCTCTCCTCTTCAGTCTCTGGTGGCAGCAGTCATCCGGTGAGTGGGTACTGAATAAGGAAACTGGGTGCCAGGTCCTGAGGCTTCTTTTAAACTCTAAAAATTCAAGTTTAAGGAACAATCTTTCACACTACAGCAAGAGTAGAGACCAACACATTATCATGCAGAGGGAGAGTGACGAGGCATTGAAGAAGTGTCGAGAGAAGCAGGTATTGATATTCAGCAATTGCCACAGTGACTCATCGCGTGACTGCATAAACCGCGTCGGATATTTCTATCACAAATAGTCACTGTAGTTTGGCTCGTGGGCCACATCTAGCACACCCGGTCTCTGACAGGCCCTCACAGTCACCATGAAGATAAAATAAAATGTCAAATATGCGTTGTCTTTATTTCGGAAGTTGCGCTTTTACATGGACGCTAGTACAAACTGTAGCAACCCAGCGACTCTCAAAAATGACCTTATATTGGCGACATACTTCTGCACGGCATAGACAAAGTTGAGGTTAGCATGTTGGCTTTGCCCTCGACAAGCGTTCCAATTTCTCATGTAGTCCTTTTGCAAATTGAATCGGCCACCCTTGCCCTTTGAACAAACTGTCACAGTTAAATTGACTGCCTGCTGGCTTATATTGACATACAAGGCATCTGGAGTTTTACTTCCTCATTTCTTATTAAATTGCTAGTAGATAACATGAGTCAAGACTCCACTGAGCAGTATCAGGGCGCCGGGATGCGGCTAAAAAATACAAAGTTCTATCTATCTGTGTTTTCCCAAAGTTCTGGTGAAGTCATCTCTTTCACACTGTGACATACACTCCCAGCAAGCTTTGTTCATCATCACTGCAGTGCAGAGGAGATGCAGCGTGTTAATCTTTGGAGGCAATGACTCACCCCGAAGTCGACGCCGCTCTTTTGTGCCACTTTTCTCTCGATGAGTTGAGATGTGTGAAGTGTCACGTAATGATACTTTTAGTTTGCCTCTGCCAGTGTGCATCACTTTCCTGTCTCTTTTCCCCCTTCTCATAGGTGGAGCTGTCCCCAATCCTCATCTGTCTGCAGCGGACACGCTTGTGAGGGGAAAACCTGCTGAAGTTTGACAAAAAGCTCCTCGTACCTCCGTGGACCACCTGGCTTTGTAGAAACGTGTGCTCTGAGAAAGGTTGCGGATGGGTGGAAATGTTCCTCTAAATTTCCAGAAAGCTTGGTAAATTTCCAGGGAATTTAAGACGGCACTTTTTAAAAAAAATATTCCAAATTGGAACATGTCATTGGAAATTTTTGAGGGTAATTTATATCGCATTCAAGCATCAATGTGAAGGTCATAAGCAGTCATCCATGCAAAATACAGGTTGGGGGGGGGGGCTCTTCAATAGAGCTGTGACATATCAGAAGCTTGCTTGTAGCTCAAATTTGGTCTTGCGTAAAAAAAGGGGGGGTGGGGCAAAAAAACTTAACGTAATGATGGGTCTCGTTGTCATTTTGAGCACTTGCAGAAAATGAAAAATGGCCAAATATTTTCGCATCATCCTGACTAAAGCAACCATTTATGTTCACACTTCCACCAGGGATCATTTCTTGACCGACTGGTGGAATTCAAGCAAAAAACTCAAGCTGGGATCCGACTGTTCATGAGACAGGTTCGTTTGAGCTTTCTGGTGATGTCGCAATAGCGAATTGAAACCAAACGGGCAAAAATGTTTCTCCCCGGTGTGCGTTCTTGTGTGGACACGTTGAAATGTCCCTTCTGAGAAAATCTTTGACCACAAACTTGAGCAGGCAAAAGGTTTTTCACCAGTGTGTTAACGTGTTGAGTTTGGATTTTATTCGAAAACCACACACACTGGCCAGATAAACCATTTTCCTGGCCAGTGCGTGTGTGTGTGTGTGTGTATTTGGATTTTATTCGAAAACCACACACACTGACCAGAAAAACCATTTTCCTGGCCAGTGCGTGTGTGTGTGAGAAGAGATAAAATGTCTTATGATTGAATTGCTACTTCGACAACACATCAGTCACATTAACGAACCTGTCTCATGGACTAATCCCATCAGGAAAATGTCCAATTTCACTCTATTTGTCAGAAAAATTATTTACATCCTGACAGGCAGACCAATGAAATGCTTCTTTCTGTCAATAGAAAGTGCAACAATTCATCAGCTTTGTGTTTGATTCAACAGGCCCCGACATTTCACACCCCAAGTCGATTTTGTGAATAAATTGAGACCGGAATCCTTTCAGCAGTCCTACTTTTTGTGACGTTTTTGTTTGGGTCGAGATTTTTCTTATGTAACACATACAGTACATCTTTATTTTCACAACAGCTGCATCTCGACAGAACATTTAATATATAACGATACAACATAAAACATGACCAATCGTTTGTCACAAAGAATTATTTGGATAATTGTCTGAGATCTTAAGTGTCCAAATCCCAGTTTCAACCTCAAGTAAATATTCTGTAGTTTTTCTCATCCTCCATAAAAGCAGATTGGTTTTTTTTTCTCTCAAAATAAGACATTTCCCATCACAATGATCAACATTGTATGACTTGTTACTGATGGTATAGTGTTACATATGTTCAGGGTTATGACCACAAATTCATCGATGAAAATGATCCTTACTTGCAGCACATGTGAAGTTGTACAAACTATGTCTGGTGGGAGTGTGAACATTACATCACTCAAAACTGGTGGTGGTTGTCAGGATTTTGCTGAAATCTCTGGAGTGGTGGAAAACGAGACCCCCCAAAAAACCACTGGTCTTTTTGGGAGGTTGGAGGCAGTATTTTGTCATTTGTAATGACTGTTTGAATTTGGGAGCAAGGTCATGCATGCCACTTGAGTCACAGGAACACGACTGTCCTTTAAAAAAAAAAAAAAAAAAAAAAGAGGGAGTGAAGTCATGCATGCCACTTGAGTCACAGGAACATAACTGTCCTTCAAAAAAAAAAGTCATTTTTCAGGAGTCTCGATTTTAATTTTTTTTTTCCCCAAAGCTGTCTTCTAGTTCCCTATTAAGATCCATCCTTTAATTTAGCAAATTCTCATGGAACATTTCCAGCTTTCTGGAAATTACCGGGAAGCCAAGCCCTAAAGGACACCTCAAAGATTGGAGCAAAAGCAATCGGCAACGGTGGTCGATTTTCCTCTTGCACGTTGTCACTCCCTCAATCTCCCGACGTCACACTTGGTCGTGCTGTCTTCCCTCTGGTGAGGGCCCAAATGTTGCACTGGACTTTGACACAACCCGTCGTTCATGTTTCATCTTTGCCGCTGTGTAGCAGATCCTCAGAGTGGGAGTAGCGTGAAAGGGATGTTTCTCCACCGAGTGGGGCAAGTTGCAAGCGCAGCCAAGATTGCCAGGATGGCGTTGACACGGGACGGCATTAAAACGACTCCGGTTCACAAGCTCCTCTTAAAGGTGCAGTTTTTGGGGTTTTTTTGTTTTTTGTTTTTTTTAAGGTGTTTGCGAAATCTGTATAAGTGGCTTTTGACTACCTTTTTGTTTTTACGGAACCTTATAGCAATTTAAAGGCACATTGTGATGTGTGTGGGGAAAGAATATTAAAAGTGGAAACGCAAATACGATAAATCTATTTTTCAATAGGGACGAAAAGCTGCTTAAACATTGATTTGATGTCCAGCTTAAGGTCCACGTGCAATACTGAATTTTTTTTTTTTTTTTAAGTGGTTTTGATCCTCACTAGTAGGACAACTATGTTGCTTTGTTTTTTTTTTTGTTTTTTAATGGTTTTGATCCTCACTAGTAGGACAACTATGTTGCGAGTGAGGAAACTGCTATAGTTTTATTGACAATTATGCTGGTTAAAATCCAGCACGTCACTGATGGTTCTTGAAGCATGCAGATACGAAACATCTTTATCGATAGAACGCTTTCACAACAGCTGCAGCAGTAGAGTCCAACGGTGCCCACTTCTGACTCACTCATAATGTAGCTCTCCTACTCATGTGCAAAAATGACATACATGAGCGGAATAAAAGCACCACTCGTGAGATGCAGTTCTAGTACGCTTAATTGTCCGCTAGTTTGGACGGCGTCATTGTACGTGGACTTTAAGCTGGATGCCGAGGCCATTTGAGTGAATGCTCCAGAGGGTTTCCGTCAGTCTGCGTCATGATGCTCTTTTTCACCAACACACAACCTGCATGCTGTACAAAGCTGCACGAGGACGGACTGGATGATGTCTTGTTCGGGGAGTTCTGCTTTTTACCCCCTTGAGTTTTGTTTTTCCAATGAATATTTTTTAATTATTTATATAAAAATATCCCAAAAGTCTTGTTGATTTTTTTTTTTTTAAATTCCAATTGACTGCGTGAAATGCATCGAGCTAAACATAAATCAGGATTACATTTGTCTTACATTTGTCGCACACTATTGAATTAATACACGAGTTGTTTTGGGGGGTTGTTTTAGCTCGCACTCCTGAAATGTTGTCGCACCACTGAAACATTCCTGAATTTCATGAGGTCACCAATGAAATTCTCTCTTTCACACAACACACACACTACTTAAACGCTGACACTATTGAAAAGTGTTTTTGGCTCACACACCGAAGCTCATTTCCCCCCGCTCACACTATTGAAACATTACTGAACTGCTCTCATACTTTACCGATTTTTTTTTTTCCCCACCACTGACATGACTTTTGTTTTTCCTCACTATTGATTCTATTAAGATCGTAACAGTTTGGGCTGACAAGCATACAATTTGTACAATGAAATATTTCTGACTATGCCCCTGTGCTCAGACTCGTATACACTTGAAACTAACTGCAGTTCACCATATGAATGCTCACACACTACTGAAAAAAATAAGTAGATGAGCACATTCCTGTGATGATTTGTGAAAGGATTTTAGTTGCGTATGAGAGCATTTCCGTTGTGGCTGTGTGAGAGGAAACCCTGAATTGTGTCTCTGACGTCTCATCTTCTATTAACCAACGTTTGACAGTGCCTGCTAACGTCTAATCCCATCGCACCAGCGCGATTCCTGTCATCCACTCACCTTTCTCTTGCGCACTTCTCCCCGGAGCTGCGGTGTTGTGTAGTGCTAATCACATGGACAGGGGCCCCGCATCATCACCCCCCCAACCCCTGCGTTTGGAAGCCAAGCCTATCATCAGCCCCCAACTGGGAGAACATCAGAGAGCAGGTGAGTCACGACTATTTGTGGGAAGGAGGGAGGAAGAGTGCTGCACTTTGTACGTCACCAAGGTGAAACAGAGAAGGGCTGTTTGAAATCGCGCTTTCTCCAACATGTAGTGAGGTGGCTATTTTGGAGTGTTCCGATGTGTAGAGCGGTGCTTCTCAAATGTGTTAGCCCAAGTGCCACCCAAAAAAAAAAAAACTGATCATATGTCTCCAATACCACTGTCGTACCGAACATTACAATCCCATGTTCAAGTAGGCTTAAGTGGCTATCAAAAATATATATAAAACACGACAGAGGTGCCATGAAGTACAAGTAATTAAGTACCCATTAAGGCATTCAGTTCATGACCGTGCTCGTCATCTCCAGAGAAATGGAAAAAAAACTGCCCCCTCCTTATAAAAAGAATCTACAAAAAACAAAATTGTAATGACATTTTTTATGACAAAACAAAGTGGCACTCTATAATATTATACTTGATCAAAACATTCAGTAATTGTATTTTTTAAATCAATTTTTGTCTCACTTTCTTCTTCAATTGTGGTGCTTATTCTGTTATGCTTGCCTTGGCCACCTGGGGGCAGTAAGAGACACTGATACCCTGTACTGTTGTAAAGTATCCCCACCGCAAGGTAACTGTGGCGACACTTAGGAGAGCTTGGGCCTACCCGGCTGACTTGGGGTGAAAAACAAGGTGCACCCTGGACTGGTCGCTGGCCAATCACAGCACTCAAATGGACGCTCACATTCACATCCACCAAAAAAATGTTGGCGTCTTCAGTGAACATGACATGCAGGTTTTTGGAAGTATGAGGGTAACCATAGAACTGGAAATGGAATTTATTGCGGCATGTGGGAAATGATATGGCCGCTTGGTACAATATGAGCAATAGAAATCATTCAATTGCATTGACACTTTGATCATAGTATGGGAATGACCAGAAAAGCATGATTACTGTTTTTTCCCCTCCACAACATATGTTGGTTTGTTAAACAATACATACAATATAAAGCTCAACATGTGACAGACACACACTTATCAATTCCAGCAATATCTCTAAATCGCAAGTTACCAGTATTGCTATTCAAATATTCAAATGCTTTTGTCTTCCTTCTCCATTACACCATTCAAGCTTCATTTTGGCTGTTTTGCACAGTGGGTAACTTTATGCTCATATGACAATTGTGGGGATAATAGGGTGGTACAGTTACAATAAGTTTAATGGTGGCGGCAATTTGACCCTATTCCATGAAAAAAA